CAATTGAAAATAATAATTTATTTTAATTTTATTCATTTTATAACCGACTCCAATAAAAGGAGGAGGTTCTCAATTAGACTGTATTTTTTATTTATTGTTACCTCAGAACTTTTTTCTAGGTGAACCGATTTTAATGATAATTTTTTTTCTACCGACTTCAAAAAGGAGACGGTACTCAATTCGACTGTATGTTTTTTTATGTGTGTTACCTCATAACTTTTTACTGGGTGAACCGATTGCAATGACTCTTTGAAAGTTGGTGTTTCATATGTAGTCCCATATAAATTTGATCAAGGTCAGACCAATAGTTTTTGAGTTATTCTTAATAATTTACATTGAAGTCGATTGTACAAAATTTTTAATTTTTAATTATTTAATTTGAAAGCTGGTTCTTCTCAATGGTCCCATATAAGTTTGATCAAGAATTGACCAGTAGTTTTTGATGCGTATTTAATAGACTTCGACTACATTGATGATGTTCTAATTCTATAATGAGGTTGGTTATACAAAACGTTTAATTTTACCACTTGTTTATGGTCGAGTTTTCTGAAGTAAAGTTATTTCTATACGTTTGAATATCGATTCTGATAACGCACATAGCGGGAACCGCAGGGTTTTTGTTACATTGTTGTATATAGTAATAAAACTTCACGACAGTGATCGAGGCTGTATTTTATGCGAAAAATATGGACAAGTTAAAAAAAAAAGTTTTTTTTTTAAATAAATGGTCATTGATTTTTAAAACCAAAAAGGAGGTGGTTCTCAATTAGTCGGAATCGTTTTTATATGTATGTTCACCGATTAATCGAAGTAGCCTGAACCGATTTCGATGATTCTTTTTTTATTTGAAAGCTGGTGCTTTTCACGTGGTTCCCATCATTTTAACAAGATATGATCAGTGATTTTTTAGTTATCATTAATATGTAATTTAGATTGAAGTTTTAATTTGACCACTTGTAACTATCGAGAATACCTTCGTGTGACCTTTACAACGTGTCATTATGTCCGACTCATTGTGGCTTATCTCCTCATCTTTGTTTATAACTCTATTAACATAAATATTTATTATAAACGGACGTTAATAAAGTGCGTTACAAAAGAAAAAGAGAAATAAGGTAATTTTTGTCTTTATACCATCAAAACAAGAACCATATTCGCTTAATGTATTTGGTTTTTTATTTTCTTCTGTAGATTCGTCTTTGATTGTAATTCAGTGTGTCGCGATTTCTATTACATGGTATAATTTTAACATTATAACAATTTATAACTAGGGAACCGCCCCGGCTTCGCACAGCAGGTTTCCGAATCACTGATAGTAGTCGTTTCTGCAAACGAGCTGATCTCAACCCTACCGTGGATTGCTGCTTTACCATACTTATTATGTGCTGGTATTATGTGAGCGCGTGTTCCTTCCCCGGTCGGGCGGAGCAATTCGCACGGCAATCTGCAATATAGCTACAGAGTATTTTTACCCCGTAGTCGATTTATGTAATTACTTTCGAGATGGATACCACTTTTCAACGGATTTCAAAAAAAAAGGAAGTCCACAATTCGACTGTATTTTTTTATGTGTATTACATCAGAACTTTTTTTCTAGGTGAACCGATTTTGATGATTCTTTTATCCCATATAAATTTGATCGCCTATAAATTTGGTCAAGGTCTGACCAGTATATTTTGAGTTATCCTTAATAATGCGTATTTGATTGACTTCGATTACATTGATGATGTTCTCATTTTATTTAAGTATATTAAAGTTTTTTTTTCACAATATTAATTTATTATTTTTTATTATTATTATTACTAGCCTGAAATATCCCAAAGGCCTCCCTACTCTCTTTGCACTCACCATAGACCAGTCCTTCATGAATGTGTCCAGTTAATCCCGCCATCTCTGCCTGGGTCTGCCACACAGACGTTTGTATAGGGACCCATTGATTTGTCACTTTTGCCCATTGGTCATTTGGCATTCGACAGATCTGTCCAGTCCAGTCCAATTTATTTTTTTTAAATTTACCACTTGTCTAATTATCGAGTGATAATATAATGAATGATCTGCCTGAAAAATTAAGACAACCTACCTAGGCAAACAAACATTTAAGAAGAATGTTCGAAATCATTTTCTAAAATTGCTTTACATCTGCTAAGCTCCGTCATCATTATAGTTGTAATCTCTGTAGATTAGTTTCATCAGTATATTACGTCATATATTATATTTTCTTGTAATATATAAATGTATATTTGTGTATAATGATGTATATATGTATGTATGTGTGTATGTATATTTCTTTGTAACCGCCTTCGTAGTTCTGTCACTGTCCTAAGGTTGACAGAGTTGGCGGAGAATGCTTTTAGCATTAAGTCCGTCTTGTGATTCACTACATAATAATAAAGTTCAATAAAGTTTAAATAAATAAATAAATACCTACTAGTTAGTAATAGCTAACAGTTTGTACGTGGTAGAGTCTATCTGCAACTATATTAATATTATTGTTATAGCACGAATGGGTCGCCTCGACTGGGAACGACCACGCTCCCACAGAATACCAGCGTGATTTAGCAGGTTAATGCTGCTGTGTTTTGTATGGTGAGTGTAGAGAACCGGAGACCCTATTTACTGGAAAAGAGGCATTCCATCTTAGTCCTCACGGCTGACAACGCATCTGCATTTTGATTCGTAATTGAGGATAGATGTAGATGTCTATTGGCCACAGCATCCACTTACCATCAGGTGGACTGTGTGCTCGTTTCTCACATTTATACTATTAAAAAAATCTTTTTACATGCACCTCGTACGTGTAAGTAAACGGATCGTTACGGAGAACGAAAGGTTTCTTGAATGTAGTTATCGGGCATAACTCTTGCAGTTTTAATGAAGATTAATTTAAATATTTTATATTAGTATTTACAGAACCGGTTTCTAACATCTTGATACCACGTCACCGTAGGTGTCATGCTAAGTAGGTTTTACAAAACAGTATGTTACTAGTCTGACGTAATCTTTTTTTTATATTATGAAAGAATAGGCTAGCGGTCTAGTTTCAAGTAACAGTTCTGAGTGGCTAATGCAGCCCAAGGATACTCGTATCTCTTTTTAACTTTTTCTACCGACTTCAAAAAGGAGTCTCTTAAAAACATCTTAGGTTACCTACCTCATAACTTTTTACTGGGTGAACCGATTTCGATGATTCTTTTTTTTTTGAAAGCTGGTACCTCACATGTGGTCCCATATAAATTTGATCTAGGCCTGACCGATAGTTTTTGAGGTATTCTTGATAATTTATTTTGAAGTTGGTTGTACAAAATTATCAATTTAAAATTATTTTTCAAGTAACATATATAATTTATACGGGGTAGAGCCATGCTGCAGTACGATTATGATTTTATTGACTGCCTCGTTGTTGTATAGTGATCGTAAACGCGGTTGCTGATAATGAGATCCCGGGTTCGAATCTCGGGTCGGGCCAAAATCAATTATTGGGTTTTTCTGTAAAGCTGTTGGTCTCGTTTTGATCTCTCTCCGGTCATGTCGGATAGTCGTTCCATGGGACTATGAGAGTGAGGCAATAGGGAGTGCACCTGTGCTTGCACACACTCGTGCACTATTATCCTGTATTGCGCAGATGGCTAGTTTCCGTTGAGACTAGTCGTAGTGACAGAAATTCGGTCCGGAGGACATAATAATTATTGTCTATTCCACCATATAAACTTAGTAATACTATATTTCTATTGAAATCTATAAAACTAAAGTGACAAACGAACTTATAGCCCTTTTTATATAGGAGAGGGGGCAAACGAGCATGCGGCTCACCTGATGGTAAGTGACTACCGCCGCTCATGAACAACTGCAACACCAGGGGAATTGCAGATGCGTTGCCGGCCTTTTAGAAAGGTGTAAGCTCTTTTCTTGAAGGTCCCTAAGTCGTATCGGTTCGGAAAAATCGCCGGTGGTAAACAAGTCCACAGAGAAGTTGTACGAGGAAGAAAACTCCTAGTAAAATGCACAGTCGTGGACCGCCATACATCCAGATGGTGTGGATGGTATCGTCAATTTTGACGCGATGTGCGTTCATGAAATTTGGCGGCTGGAATTAATCCGAACAATTCCTCAGAGCACTCCTCGTGCTAGATTCGATAGAATGTACATCTGAAACTAACTTGAAGCAAAGAAGGCTGCAGATGCGTTGTCATCACCTACTCTTTCTACTCCTTTCAATCTGGGACATAGCAATGCAGGTAGTGCTGTGCTTGGCGATAGACATAGGTAAGAATGTGGTACCTATCCAGTGGGAGAAAAGAACTCCTACCTCCTAGAATCGATTAGGTTTTAATTAGAATACATTTAAAAAAAAATTCTTTTAAACAAAAGAATTCAATCTTAGTACAATGCACAATACAGGTGTGTTGTGGTTGTAGCAGAAATTTGTCTGTTTCATCGGGGTTCGCACTCTCATAGAATAAAATAAAATGGCTGCAATATTTAACTCTTTTATGCGGTAGAGCCATTAAGCTGCTATTTTACGCTGGTATTCTGTGAGAACGTGGTAAATCCCCGGTCTAGTCGACCCATTCGTGCTGTAACCACAATATACCTGCAACAGTGGTAGAGCCACGTGGCGGCTTTTGCTGTCGCACCGATGGGCCGGCTCGAACCGGGGTGGTACCACGACCTCACAGAATACCGGAGCATAGATGTAGATGTCTATGGGCCGCAGCAACCACTTACCATCAGGTGGACTGTGTGCTCGTTTGTCACACTTATCCTATAAAAAAAAAACATGGCTGTACCACGTAAAAGCGTGTGTGTATTGTGGTTAGATTTGGGTATCTATAGGTTACAGCATCCATATACCATCAGGTGGACCACGCGCTCGTGTCATGCTTAATTGCTTAAAAAGAAGAAGGAAAAGAAGTCTTGAATTACCTTCCTCTTACATGCAATCATGCGGTCATCAAAATGAACAATACATTTATGCTAATCTTTATCTATCATCTTTCCAGATGCCCTGGAGAGAGAGAGGATGACCCAACATGCTCAGCTCCGCGAGCTGGTTACGCGCGGCGATGTGACAGCGTTGAAGGCTAAGCTAGCAGCGTTAGGTTCCGATGCTGGTGTGGTGACCAATATGACGCCTGGTGGGGCCAACACACTGCTATATGTGTGAGTGAAACTTGTCACTGTTTGGTACATTGAAGACAGATTGGACAAAAATATCGTATTTTACCACGTATTTATTAAGTCACTTTATTGTTTGTCTGTCGTTCCGGGTGGAATTCCGAGTTCTCAATGAGTTGGAAACTTGAAATTTTAAATATAGCTCAAATTCGGATGACAATGCAAGAATATGATAAAAAAACGTGATATAAATGCGTGAGTGTCGTAGAACACTCGGTTGGAACGAAGTTCCTTTCGTAGTATATTATTATTGATATAGGTATATATAAATAAATAAAATTGAAGTGTCTGTTTGTAATATCAAAATTACAACGTTTTACTAAATGCATATGAAAGTATAAACAGTACTTATAACAAAAATACACTTTTTAAAATATTTGTCTGTCTGTTCATCTGTCTGTCTGTCTGTTTGTTCTGGCTAAACTCCGAAACGGCTGGACCGATTTTGACGGGACTCTCACTGGCAGATAGCTGATGTCATAAGGAGTAACTTAGGGTACTTTTATTTTAGAAAAATAATCAGGGTTCCTCGCAAAAAAATTAAAACCCTAAATTGCACGCGGGCTATGTTGCAAAAGAGTATGATGCACATAGACGAAATACTCATTTTTTTAATCGAATGAATTATTAAAATAATTGATATTTCAGATAAAAAAAAAATTAATCGCCGGAAAAAACTAAATAGTCGTTTTTTTAAAATTCTAATTACATATTTCGATAATATGATAGGCATGCTATTTAATTAGATTCTTAAATACATACGAGTGCATGCTACATGCTACATTTTTATTTAGATCCTTTTATTTCCTGATAATAAGCAAACACCTGCCAAATTTAGCAACGTTTTATCCAAATTGCCTTGAATTGAATGCGAATGTAGAGAACCGGAGACCCCTTTTAACTGGAAACGATGCGTTCCATCTTAGTCCTCACGGGTGACAACGCATCTGCATTTTGATTCGTAATCGAGGATGGCTGTAGATGTCTACAGGCCACAGCATTCATTTAAAAAATCAATTGTGTGATCAGACACTTTAGAAAGTTCCGTTCCAAATAAGAGTTTAAAATTAATACCTTCATTATTATAATTAAAATCAATTTTCACCGGAAAAATTTGTTCAAATGGCGCGAATTAGAGAAAGTTATTGTTAATTTCTATTCCATTTAATTTTACGGATGTTTTGAGTTGTACCAAAAAGTAGAAGCCGACTTCAATTTGACATTATTTGAATTCAATTAATTTTTATTGATTTCGATTGATTTTTGTTTGATTGTATTTAATTTAATATAATATAATGCTGACATTACTATTATTTGATTATTATTTTTAGTTGGATTTTATTGTGATTTCATTTTGGGTTTAGATTTGATTTTTATTTTGATTTTATTTAATGTTCTCAATTACCAACCTAATTCGGGGCTTCAATTCTTCTGTACAATATATCTTAGCACCGACTTTAGAACGTGAATTTATTTCATTTCGTTTTAGATGTTTGAAGTCAGTTTTTACTTCTTTTTAAAAGTTACCTTTTTACCCTTTGAGGTTTTTTTATAGAATAAGCGTGACAAACAAGTACACAGTCCACCCTATAGTAAGCGGATGTTGTGGCTCATAGACACCTATGTTTATGCTCAATTAAGAATCAAAATGTAGATCCGTTGCCACCCCTGACTAATTGTGACTTCTGTGTGGCTTCCGTACCATCGTAAAACACGTTTTTAGTAGGGGAGCCCCTTTTGATTTTTAATTTATTTTTATTTTTATTATTTGTTGTTATAGCGGCAACAGATATATACATTCTGTCAAAATTTCAACTGTCTATCTGTTACTGATCAGGAGATACAACCCACTGACAAATGGACGGACAGTGGAGCCTTAGTAATAGGGTCCTAGGGTTGGCTACCCTTTGGATACGGAACCCTAAAAAGGGCCTTCGGTTCTCTACACTCACCATACGAAACACAGCAGCATTAAGCTACTCTTTTAAGCTGGTATTTTGTGAGAGCGTGGACTTACCCCGGTCCGCTGACCTAATTCGTGCTACAAACATAATATAGCTGCAGCATGGCCTAAAATCCTCTCAGAAATGAGAAGAGGCCGAGCAGTGGGACCTATATAGGCTGTAACTTTAACTTTTAACTTAAATGCTCCAGTAGTTTAGTCATGTAGGAAGAATGAACGAGGAAAGAGTGACGAAGCAAATTTATGTTGCAGAAGTAAACGGCAGAGTCGGGAAGGGACGCCATAGACGAAAGATTATTCACCAAATTGGCGGTATATTGAAAATGGGCCAGATTAAGAGCACCCATAAGGGGGATACCCGTAGGTAAATGGATTTAAGGGAGGCGATGAGGTGTATCACGACCGTGCAAATAGAAGTCTGTAGTCTCTGCCTACCCCTCTGGGTAATAGGCGTGGGTGTTTATGCTAAATCCCAAAACATGAATTTAGTCTTAAAATCTTTAAAAACGATATTTCTTAATAACCAATCACAGCGCGAGGAGCTTAGGCCCCCATCCGCTGTCGGCATGCTTCAATAAGCTATCTTTCTCGCTCTTATGGCTTCGCATAAGCCTTTTTTGTCTTATTCATTTGTAAACTTTATTCGCGTCTGGGAATTGTTTAAAGCCGCTAAATTCATCCGGCGATTGACAGATATTATTAAAAATTACTCAATAAATACGTGATTAAAATTCTAGATTGCCAAAAGTATATTCTTTGGGAATTAAAAAAAAATGTTTTTGGCGTGGTCTGGTAAATTTTATAACCGACAAAATCGAATTAAATAAAAACTAAATTAGAAGATAAAAAAGAAATCAACATGCCACAAAAACATTTTTTTGTAATTTTTTTTTGCAAAATTTATAATATACTGCGCAGTAACGAAATAACCGCAAACGCTCTGCCAGACTCGCGGGACTCGATTCGCCAATTGACGAAATTATATTTTTTCACAATTTCAACTTGCCCAAAGGACCTTCCCAAAATTCGTCGCCAGCTCTCAGGCTATTATTTTAGATCGGCGTAATAAAATAAAATGATGTGTCTTAGAGTTCAATTGCGTGCAATATCCCCGTCACCACTAATCCCAGCAGAATGGAATAGATTAGATTTAAAAAAAAAATATCGATTACATGTAGTTATTATTGAAATTATTTTTTTTACTTTACCTCTGGTTCGAAAAAAACCTCTGCCCTGGAAAGAACCAGCAAGAAAGCGAACGAGACTTTTTTTAGCTAGCTTTTTTTTTAGCCAGCTAAGTTCATAGTGGTTAACCACCGCAGAGTCTACTAGGTAAGACACATCATTTTTTTTATTACGCGAATATTAGCCAATTAATTTTTAACGTCTTATTCTCTACATAGTATAAAATAAAGTCATATCGTTCTTCTTTAGATTTTGATGCGGTTTTCATCAATAGACAGAACGATTTAAGAGTAAGGTTTATGTGTATAATACATGCATATTATATATTATATAATACTTCTGTCCGTGTTTATATATATGGCTTAACTCCTCCTAAACGGCTGGACCGATTTTGATGAAATTTTATGTGTGTGATTAAGTTGATTAGAGGATCAATCGTGCGAAACCGGGGCGAATCGTTAGTTATGTATAAAAATCAATTGCTGTCCGTTAGTCTCGCTAAAACTCGAAAACGGCTCGACCGATTCTGATGAATTTTTTGTGTGTGTGTTTGAGTGGGTCCCTGGATGGTTTAGATACACAATTGCACCCGGTAGGTGGTGCTGTTGTCGAAATATCCAGAAATCAACCGCGTGAAGTCGGGGCGGATTGCTAGTCTTTAACATATTTAGTTATTTATTTAATATCTTTATTGAACTTAAAATGTACAATTGGCGGACTTAATGCCTTTAGGCATTCCCTACCAGTCAACCACGACTTAAGCAGAGAAACTTAAGCAGGTGCCATAAAAACATGAGTATGTCTATACGTGAATGTAAATATAAAAATAAAGTATTATATATATACTTACAGTGCTTGCGAAGCTGGTTCGGCGCCTGCCGTGTCGGCCTTGGTGGCGGCGGGAGCTGATGGGCGGGCGCATCCGGTGACCAGATACGGACCGCTGTACATCGCCTGTTACCACGGCCATGCGGATATCGCACGCCTTCTGCTTGCACACTTCCCGGAGGCAGTACAGGTAAGCTTTATATAACATTCACTTTGACTGCCTTTGTAAACGTTAAGTGGCTGATCATGTGGTTCAAAGTACTGGTCGGGCAAAAATCAGTTATTGGATTTATATGTAAAGAAATTCTCATTAATAGCCCGGAGTCAGGAAGTTGGCGGTGTTTCAACACCGTGCCTCGGAAAGCACGTATAGCCGTTGGGTTCACCGTCCCTTCGGACTACGAGAGTGAGGGAATGGAGAGTGCACCTGTGCTTGCGCACACACTCGTACACTATATAATTCTGTCGTGTGCAGATGGCTGGTCCCGGTTGAGACTGGCCGCCGTGACCGTAAATTCCGTCTGGAGACCGGAGAAGGCCGGACCAACGGCTTTACTTGCTTTCCGAGGCACGTTGGTGAAACAACGCCAACTTTCTGACTCCGGATTGCTACCGAGAATTTCTTGACAAAGATACTTTTAAAGATCTTAAATAAATTAAAAAATTATGTATCTTACTAAGTTTCAAGAGCACCTCGCGCCCTCCTTCAATCGCGTTCGCGTGCACTATTCCCGTCACCACTTAGCCCAGCACCACTACTCCCCACACCACTAAACTAGGAAAGACGCACCACAGTCGATAGTACGACACGTGTTTCGCCTCTACACGAGGCGTCCTCAGGTGAAGTAGACTCTGCGGCGGTTGAGCGTAAAGTCACTTAGGGTGGAAGGTGCTCTTCAAACGAGGTAAGACACATCATTTTATTTTATTACGCGGATATACGCAAATTGATATTTAACATATTTAACATAATGGATTTCCGCGAAGTAACGCCTGATTCTGTTAATTCTGTTATAAAACTTTCTTTCTTTGATAATGTAACGTACGATCATACTTCTTCCAGTATCAAGTAATAAGAAACTATTCTTTATAGTGCACTTTTTCACATTGTGAAGTTTTTGGGAGATATTGACGGCAGCTTGAGCCAGCAGACAGGCGATGACGATACTATCTCAAGGTGCCTAAACAGATAGATTGTCTTGATATTCTCATTACCCACTTGTTTCATCGTAATAGTTTACATGCGCAGACAATATATGCAAATAAATAAAATTGAAGTGTCTGTTTGTAATGTCAAAATAACAGCTTTTTACTATATGCATATGAAATTATATACGATACTTATAACAAAAACACATTTTTTTTAAAATTTGTCTGTCTGTCTTTCTGTCTGTCTGTCTGTCTGTCTGTTTGTTCCAGCTAATCACCGAAACGGCTAGACCGATTTTAACAGGACTTTCGCTGGTTAGATATAGATAGCTGATGTGAGTAACTTAGGCTACTTTTATATTAGAAAAAGAGTTATAGTTCCGCGCAAAAGAATTAAAACCCATGAAATCCAATCGTAATAAATTACACGCGGGCGAAGTCGCGGGGAACAGCTAGTTAACACATAAAATCGCACCACTAAAACGTATCAAAATCCTCTTCAAACCATTATTTAAACAATAATACAAGTGTTGCAATCTGCTGGTCAAGCTCCCGACAAAACTCCTAGCTAAAACTCATTAACTGACTTATTGACAGTACAAAAGAGAGAAAGAAAGAGAGAGAGAGAGAGAGAGAGAGAGAGAGAGAGATATGTATAGAAATAGATTTATTGAGGGCGTTCTTCGTTCGTTTGAGAGCGTGTTTCCAAGGTCGAGCCGATCCATTCACGCTGAAGTCATAATACGCTATAGTGTTAACCTTTCGTGTCTTTCAGCAAGAGACTGTAGAGAAGTGGCTCCCATTGCACGCGGCCTGCATCGGCGGCCACGCGGCGTTGGTGACTCTACTGCTGGAGTACCCTTACCCCGAGCATCTGCTACAGACCTTCACGTAAGCTAGATAGATAGACGATTAATTATTTATCGCACACACTAAAACACGAAATAAGAGACAAAAGAAATTCATAATGTTCAAAATTAGTGTAATAGGCGGTCTTATCGCTTAAGGGGATTTCTTCCAGACTGTTATGGATCGAGAGAAAATTATAGCGAAGCTTGTTGCCTTCGATCCGGGGCTGTAAACGGATGCTGGTAGAGAGAAAGGGCATTCGTTAAAAAAAATTGTACGCCTACCTTGTCACCGCCGATTTGTAGGTCTTCCACGCTCCGGAGACAGGTGTCTCCAACGCTTCTTCCTTTTATTAGGGACACGAAACTTCACTATTTGATTATATAGGGTTATTTTGCAATAACTGGCCAAATTTGCAGCGTAGGTTCATAATAATTAATATAGGCAAATGGTGAGGAAAAATTAATTTAAAAAATCTCAAACATTCCGTCCTTTTTATCTTTTAAATTCAAAATGCGTGGTAATGCATTACTCTAACTGATTTTGCTACGCACGCACACACTAGTAAGGATCGATTGGTAGGCGAAAACGTTGTTGCCCATAAATCACATTAAACTTTTGAAATAAAAGTAAGAAGCCTTATTTTCTCGTATTTTCAAAAACTGCAATAACGGTATATCATTATTTATATATTTGAACTTAAGATTAAAAAGTTTGGCTATTCTTTGAAAAGTAACACTGTAGATGTATGATTCAATAAAATAAAAAAGTTATTAATTTGGACATATTAAGGATGTCATTGAGGCGGGATTTACATTAAGCTACGCTTTTGTTCGGACAATTAAAATCAGTAAGACAGGAATACCTCTTTCAGAAATTAAAATGGAGAAGTGCAGATGATGGTCGAAGTATTAGAACGGTTACCCTAATACTGGCAACCCCATATCATCGATCAGCCGCATTTCGAGGCAGTTTTAGATACATGGCTACTAAATATTGGTACAATTTAACACCTTGTATACGGCAAATTAAATCTGTAAACGGTTTTAAAGCTCAATTAAAAATACACCTTTTAGCATTTAAAAAAATATTATTTCACGTGTAGTGGCAGGTTATTGCATAAATACGATTTAAAAAAATGTTCTTTCCCATGTATAAATGTGAATCTTCTTATGACGAAAGAAAGTGTTGGTCACAAAAAGATTCTTTTCCACACATACGGTGAGCAGGCTTTCACCATTCTCATTTATACTTTCATCACCAAACGTTCCCAATATCCTTTCATAACCAAGCCTCTTCGTTGAAATACATATATTGTATCCCGAGTTAGATCGTTCCTAATTATTTCTGTACAGAGATGTATCTGGGCAGTGGCGTTACCGGTTCGCGTTTGACGTGAACGCTCGTGACGCGAGTGGGCAGACGGCGTTATATGTGGCCTGTACTCTCGGTAATGCAGCCGTTGTTGATGCGCTGCTGGCTTTCTCCCTGCCCAAAGAGAGAGTGCCACGGGATCAGGTTAGTTACACTAAATAGATGACAGATACAACGTTTTAAATATAATTGAATTATACTTATTTTTATATGCCGAAGTTTCGGGTGCTTTGCAGACTCTTGTCGCGATGGGACTGAGGTCACTGACGTCCCAAACAAATTTCACAAGTACAAACATTCAGACGCGGAACAATGATTTTGTAAGCCATACAAATACTTGTTCAGTGCGGGATTTGAATCCGTCGCACTCAGCGCCGCAGCTCATTTCTAAGCCACTGCACCATGGAGCCGTCAATTTTAATATATAAAATCGAATTGATAAAAGAACTTAGACTAAACTTGATGGTAAGTGCTGCAGTCCATGGACATCTGTAGAACACTTCAAAGAAGGCTACAGGTGCGTTGTCACCTCTGAAGATTAAAATGTAATGTCTCACAGCCTGTACATACTGGCCCACTATACGCATCAGACCGGAACACGGTGCACTCATTGATGGCAGTCTTTGATGGCAGAAACTGGCACTTACCCAGATGGGCTTTCAATTACAATTGATCACAAATAACCACAGTAGCCAGTGATGACGTATGAATCTGAGACGTGTTCCTTCACTGTTGACCGTACGAGGACGCTCAAACTTGGTCAGCGAGTTATGTAGAAGGCTATACTTGTTTTTTATCTGCGTGATAAACTTCGAAAGGTGGATATTTCCAGAAGAACCAGAGTAACTGACATAGCCCAATGGATCGGTTAGCTTAAGTGTCAATGGACTAGCCATGTAGCTCGATGAACCGATAACCGACGGGGAAAAAAGGTTGTCGAATGGCAGCCGCGTATCGGTAGGCAAAGTGTAGGGCGTCCCCCGACCAGATAGAATGACGAGCTGGTAAGATTGCAGGAAGTCGATGGATGCAGGTGGCTCAGGATCTGTGTGCTTTATGATATTCCTTGGGCGTGGCCTATATTCAGCAGTGGACTTGTAAGGACTGTAATGATGATGATGATGATGATGATGATGAACCCACAGTGTCGGCGAACGACGACAGTCGCTGGTACACAATATTCTTACCGCTAGTAAATTAATTAAACGTTGATTATGATACATATATGTATGTGTGTCTCTACAAATTTGATTTTTTCTACCAGCCAGAAGAAGCAGAAGAGGCCTCTACACCTCTACCAGCAAGTACCAAGCAGGTGCTGAGTCCGCATCGTGCTGGCATCTCGCTTGGCATCCATGCCATTGTCAGCAAGCTTACTGGCTCAAGCAAGCCGGTATGTTGCATTTTTTTAAAGTATACTTATAGTAGGTACACATTACTGATACTCCAGCTATCCACTCCAAATAAGTTTAAAGTGTTTGTCTTAGAAGTTGTTCGAGACAACAGTCAAATGATGGATTCGAACGTGTAGACCAGTCTTGTAGTAGTGGCGTAAAGGAATCTCCCCCCCCCCTCCCCCCATTTCGTACCGTAGGTGTTATAAGAGGTGAATATAAGAGACGCTAAAAAGATTTTAAATGCCTTCCGAAAGCAGTTTAATCAACTCGTTTACTATTATACACCATTACCGTTACAGTCAATCAAAAGTCCACTGCTGAACATCATCAGGCTTCTGTCATTGATGACTCTACAAAAATGATTTTTTCTATAGTTGCCAAGCTTGGTAGGCGGGTTATGAGCTGTAGTTTTTTCTTTGAATTGTTAGCAGGAAGGGGCTGCTGCCAATCTCTCGTTTCAGTTTGCCTCTGTCGCCTTTTACAGCGCTCAAGGTATGACGTAGGGTAGTGGTCTTCTTCTATTAGTTTTTTTTATAGAATAAGGGTAACAAACGAGCACACAGTCCACCAGATGGTAAGTGAATACTGTGGCTCATATACATTTAAATATATCCTCGATATAGAATCTAAACGCAGACTATTGTCAGGCTAGAGAACTTAGAAGGAGTGTCCCGTTTTCAGTATAAAGAGTTTTCACTTAGAGACATTCACTATACAGCATCATTAACCTTGTTTAACTACAACGTTAACTATTTAACGTTGGTATTCTGTGTAAGTATGTGAGCGTGGTCCTTCCCCTGTCTAGCCGACTAATCCATGCTACAATCATAATATTATAGATCTACCATCTTCACTATATTTAAAATATGTTATCACTCTTAACATTTTTATCTTGCCATGAAAGAAATATTATCGGAACGAAGTTCTTTATCGGACGGTACGGGTTTGGTGGATGGGAGCTAGGCGACAAGAAGTGTAAGATTTTTTCGTCACTAACTCTTGTGTCATGGTGTAGACGGCTTTGGCGGCGAAATAAGGAAGTGAGATGGAAACATATTCATCTCCCTTGCACTTTTTCTTATCTTGCCATGAAAGAAATATTATTTTATTTTAAATGGCGCTTCATTTTAATAGACGCTAGTAATAAATTTATTTTTATTTGTTAATCAATAATGTAATACCTACGTTTGTCAATAATAATATTACGCAAGAAACTTCGTTCCAACCGAGTGTTCCACGACACTCACGCATTTTTTTAAAAATTTTAAATGACGTTTCATTTTAATAGACCTAACATCTAACGTCTAAGTCATTTATTTGCATTTGTTAATCAATAATACAATACGTTTGTCAATAATAATATACTACGAAAGGAACGTCGTTAGGAATATTGAACTTAATTTAATAATCTATATTGATTATAAGATTTATTCTGTTCTATTCCACAGACAGATTAAATTTGGTCGTTTCGCAGAGCGTTTCGGAGGGCGAAGCCCGTATCCGTGTGGTGCGAACGGATATGGGGCGGGGCGTGGACAGCTGTGTGGCGGCTGCCGTTCGTGGTGCTCACCTGCGTGTGCTGAAGCGCCTGCTGGCAGCTGGAGCCTCGCCTGATGCCACGGCACAGCCTCCGCACACCTTGGTAAGTTTTGCCCGCCGTTATAAAACGTGATATGGGGTTTGCCCCATTTTGAGGCGAATTCCGCACCACCACGATCCACAGTGATGCATATCGCAAGTTTTAAATATAAAAGATTTTTTTATCTCTATTTTGTAACAATACGTTTAAAAAGATGAAAAAACGAAGGAATAGTTTTATTTTAAAAGTTACCTCCACAGTATGTGTAATAAATACTAATAGTGAGTCAACTCAGCGACTAGATGAAGCAACGATGGGGCACGGTATGAAGGAGAGCGGAGTCCGTCCCCCCCGGCTCGCGATGTCTGCAGTAGTACCGATCGGCTTCGCTTGCGTACCGGTACGCCCGTCACGTACAAGAAATCAGTTACACGTGTCTGTTTTTCATCTAACAACATGATATTAGTCGGTATTATTTTTAAATATTGGGAAAGATTAAAAAAGTAAAATTGAATTCTATTTATTAACCATGTGATTGCTTTTCATCACGATTTTTGTTGAATTATATGTAAGAATAAGAATTCATTATATAATTAAATTCTACAAAAGACAATAAAAAAAAAAACAATAATAAAAACCTAATGATAAATGTCGTAAATATTTGTCGGTTGCGCACATCTGTAACGAGGCGGCGTGCGTTGATTAAATAGAACCAATGTCTTTGGCTAATTTCTTTTTTTTTATAGAATAAGGGTGACAAACGAGCACACAGTCCACCTGATGGTAAGTGGTTGCTGTGGCCCATAGACACTATATCTATCGTTATTTGCAAATAAAAATGCAGATGCGTCGTCAGCCATGAGGACTAAGATGGAATGCCTCTTTTCCAGTAAAAAGGGTCTCCGGTTCTCTACACTCGCCATGCGAAACACGACAGCATTAAGCTGCTATTTTACGCTGGTATTCTGTGAGAGCGTAGTCCTCCTCCGGTCGAGCCGAACCATTCGTGCTACAACTATATAATTAATATAGCTGCTGCATGGCTCTATCACGTAAGAAAAAATCGTAAATGAAGAATAGAAGAATGTATATCAATTTATGTTTAAATATTATAAATATTTTTGTCATTGAATGAATATACAGCATATTATAAGTTTCTTACATAAACTGTTTAATAATAAAGTGGATCGTCCATCCCTCCTATCACAAATTAAATTGAAGGTGCCCAGAGTTTCAGTAAGGTTGTGTAATTTTAGCCCCTTCAGTGTAAATTGCAATAGCAGAAATTATAGTATGTTCTTTTATGTTCTGTGATGAGAAAGCGTAATGATATATTCGATAAATGTAATATAGATTTCTTTAGTGGTAGTTTAAGTTCCTTAAAAAAGAAAATAAATCCATACTACACTCAAACTATAAAATAAAAACTTGTGGTGGCGCTGTCTTCGCACCTCCAGCGAAAATACATCGAAGCCTAATTCGCGCTATCAAAGTTCCGAAGTAAAAGCAGTATGTATATATATAGAATAGCTCCGACCTACCACTCGGAGCGTTGGCCACTCCCCTGGCAGAACATCTTGCCCGGCGGGAGATCTCACCTTTTCCTTCCACGGCCAATAACTATAAATTATGTCAAGCTCTCTATCAAATCAGAATCTTACCTGTATTGCATAGTGTCTTTGTGTTTTTAATTTTTATCATATTTTATGATCTGTTAATTTCATAAGTCATTTTGAGTTTCATGTTAAAATGTTGTGCGCATACCTTTAAGTTAAATACATAATATATAGTATAATTATTGTTGCACGCCACTATTAATGTCTTGTAAATGGCAACACTAGTTACCACTAGAGCCCTCTAATGTCGAGTAGCAGAACTATCTCCTAGTTCTGCTACTCGACAGTCAAGATCCTTCTAGAAATTTCGGGACAGATATGTTTTTTTTTTATAGGAGAGGGGGCAAACGAGCATGCGGCTCACCTGATGGTAAGTGACTTCCGCCGCCCATGAACAACTGCAACACCAGGGAGGGAATTGCAGATGCGTTGCCGGCCTTTTAAAAAGGAGTACGCTCTTTTCTTGAAGGTCCCTAAGTCGTATCGGTCCGGAAAAATCGCTGATGGTAATCGATTCCACAAGGAAGTCGTGCGAGGAAGAAAACATCTTCTAAATCGCACAGTGGTGGACCGCCAATCATCCAGATGGTGTGGATGGTATTGGGAGTTCTGCCGCGATGTGCGCTCGTGAAATTTGGCGGCTGGGATTAATCCAAACAATTCCTCAGAGCACTCCCCATGGTAGATGCGAAAGAAAATGCAAAGGGATGCAACATCTCTTCGCAGTGCCAATTAATCGAGCCGATCGGAAAGGGCTCGGTCGTCGAACACATGTACTCGAATAATCTAGATGTCGCTACAGTAGAAGGTTCTGGAAACTATCTGAGGCCCTATAAAGCTGAACACACATTTGTCCGCGCCGCACGCGCCGAATTTTACTGATGGCCTCGCACATTTGCCCGTACGCATCGTCCGCGCCGTAAGCTAATCTTTTGTATTGCCAACAAATTTAGTAGTTCTTTCCAACCACTGGTGTGAAACGGTACAGTGAAATTGATCGCTCGAAATCACTATGGAAAGAAATATAGTAATAGCCTGCTTATTGGTAGAAAAAGAAGAAAATAAAATTCGAACAAAAAGAAGATTCTGGATTCATACTATTAATTTAAAAAGGCATGGAGCATGGAGGTATGGAGAATATGAAGGGGATATACTTTATTTAAAGACTTAATAGATCATGATGAACGATTTTTTTTAGATATTTGCATTTAACATATAACAAATTTCAAGAATTGCTACTTTTTCTTTTTATTTATTTATTATTGGATAAAAATTGTTACATTATTGCTATGCGGCACAGCGAAAAATCACGCAGGTTTGTGTTGCGTGCCGTTCCGTCTACATTTACAAAAATGGGGATAACAACTTTTTTTAATATTTGTTAAGGAAATAACATTTTAATTTATACTTTATGTTAGCTTCATTAATTTCACTTTAAAATTTATTATCCAGACCATTTATTAAGCGAAGTATTATGTATGCACTGGTGCGCTCACCATATTTATTTTTGGATGGTATTGTTATTAATTTCTTTTGAGTTACTTTGCGGGTCTGAATTTTGTTTGAGACTGTATGTTGTGTACCTAAATTAAAGAATTGTTCTTTTAACAGTTGATATTGGACTTTATCATAGATATTGAGCACCTTGCAGTGTTGTTTAAATATAAAGTTTTCATTTGTTTTTGCCTGAAGTTTAACTTTTATATGCACAATCGATTTTAAAATCCTAAGTTGTAGTTGATAAATGTACTGTAGATGTGATTTGTCTGTTCGTCTGTAGCTACTTAGCCCATAAGTTATGACTGAATCAGCAAGAGCGTTATAAAGCATCATTTTGACTCAAAAGTTTAATCGCTTTCTAATTATAAACATATTCGCCAAAAATGCTCTAAGCTTATCACATACGTGCTTTATATGCTCGTGCCAATTGAACTTATGGTCTACTACTAAGCCTAAATATTTATGCGATGTAACTAATTCAATCGTGGAACACTTACAATTATGTTGGGGTTGGTGAAGGCAATTATGATTATGCGAAATGATTTTATGTTTTAATATGCTATGAGACTAAGTTTGCGAGTGTATATGGACTAATTTCGTCTTTTGACAATTTAATATCAAACCGCTGTCATGACACCATTTATTTAATGAATCAAAATCATCATGTAACAAAAGCAGGGCGTCATTGACATCCTTAGCAGCCACAAGCATACACGTATCATCAGCGTATTGATAGTTATTACAATATCTAAAGATCTTATTCATATCATTGACATAGGCTATAAAGTGCAATGGTCCAAGTACGGAACCTTGAGCTGTGCCTTCGGTTACTTTGACTGATGTGCTGTAGCTTTCACAAATTTTAACACGGTAGCTTCTATTTGTCAGATAGTTTTTACACCAATTTAAAAGAGGTCCACGAATACCTGTATTTTCCAACTTCCTAATCAGCTTATTATGATCTAATGTATCAAAGGCGCGAGAAAAATCAATAAATAGGGCTAGAACATGTAGTTTCTGATTCATCCATGAATTCACTTGATCTGCGAATTTCGATAATAGCATTGCAGTGTTCTTACCAGGCCTGAAGCCGAATTGGCTAGAGCTTAAAATATTACTTTTTTGATAAAAGTCATGTATTTGATTACAGATATATTTTTCCGCTATTTTATCTATTGATGATGTTAAACTAATTGGTCTATAATTATTTGTGTCATCAAACTTACCTTTTTTATGGACTGGTCTAACACATCCCACCTTAAGTTCATCTGGATATGTCTCTGTTTTACAGGTATTTATAAATTTAGCTAAGGTTTCTGAAATTATATTGGCAATGCTCTTGATATCTCTCATTCTAATGCATTCAAAACCTGAGGCTTTATCAGTACTTAACTTATTAATTAGTTTATTTACACTATCTGGCGTTGCCTTCTTAAAGTACATACTACAATTATTTTCAATTCCTGGTAAATGGTTTTGATCATATTTTAATATATCCTGTTTGCAGTTTGGCAAAATATCTTTTACGGCAGAGTCAAAATTATTCGCAAAATTGTCTGCAAGACAAGGTAAGAGAAGGTAAAAGATTTAATGATTTAAAAGCATTTAATATAACCTCATCTATTGATTTTACAATCCTACCAGCGATATCATTTAAAACTTGCCATAATTTTCTTGAATTAGCAAAATTTTTAATTATTTTATTTTTATAATAAGAATTTCTGTAATATTCTATATTACTACTATATTATACGAAAACCATATCTTTCTATGGAAAACTCAAGATTTAGAAGACCAATTGAACCAGAGAAAAGACTTGTTGCATGTTTGAGGTAATTATTTTTATTGATAATTAAGTTATCAGGTATAATTGGGTTTTTGAATTCAATTTAACTTTTTTTTGTTAGTTCAGTATTTAAATAATTTATCGCTAAGTATACATATTTATAATCAATGCAAAACAAAATCAAATTATGTATAATTAAGTAAGAATGAATTAAAAGTTATAAAATACAAAAATTATCATGTAAGTCGAAACCACCAGTTATAGCGGAAAATCCACTAAGTTGCCAACATTAGACAACACTGAGTATCAGCACGCGCCGCGCTATATGACGTCATCAGCATTCATCCTTCGATATCGCATACCTACCGCATTTTATGAAATTCGGCGCGTACGGTGAGGGTGTAATTTGCGAGGTTTCATATGATTTCATACAACGAATTCTAAAATTCGGCGCGTACGGTGCGGGTGTTATGTGCGAGGTTTCATATGATTTCACACAACGAATTCTAAAATTCGGCTCGTACGGCGCGTGCGGCGCGGACAAATGTGCGTTCAGCTTAATATAAGGCCGGTATAGACCACGACCGAGTCAGTATTGAATTCGCGATACAAGAGAATACTTCGAAGCGAAACAACTGCGAACATAAGTGATCAGTAGTACAATTGTGTTTTATTATTAGTGTGGTTTTAGATTGTAATTAGTGTTCTGTAATTAAAGTGTCAATTTTGGTAATTCCATCGGCACTCGGCAGTTTTTAATTGTCTCGAACCCCAAGCTCGTAACAATATGTTATTGTTCATTAATAATGTTTTGTAATGTGTATAGTTGGTAAGCCTAAATATAAATGTGAAATGTTTCCAGGAGGAGAGTGAGAGTCGTGAGGCTCGTCGCCGCTCCCGCAGCGCGTCTGCGGCCTGCAACCGATCTTCTGCTTCTCCCTCCCCCTCTCCTGCGCGTGGAGGCTATAACGATGACCGTAAGAACTTTAAGTCAAGTAGAAACGCCAAAATAATTTTATCTTTACTGAGTGTGGAACGGACTATTACTTGGGTATATTTGATGGGTGGGTTCGACCGGAGATGAACCACGTGCTCACAGAACATCAGCGTAAAATAGCAGCTTAATGCTCTGTTGTGTTTCGTATAGAGAGTGTAGAGTACCGGAGTCCCTTTTTACTGGAAATGATGCATTCGATCTTACTCCTGGGGGGTGACAACGCATCTGCATTTTGATTCTTAATTGAGGGTTAATGTAAATGGCTATGGGCCACAGCATCCACCTACCATCGAGTCGACCAATTCGTGGCGCTAATATACTCGTAACACGCTGTGACATGGTTCTGAAAGGAAATGAAATCTTTTTATTTTCGAAGTAAGAAATTAAAACTTATATTGCCAAACATGTTGTATAATCTGTACCGAAGTAACCTAATGAAGTGGTAATTTTTGATGATTATTTATTACTTCCATATCTTACAAGGTTGTGCAGGGACACCGCATTTATTATTTTTTTTAATACCAAATATAGTTTATTATTATTATTTATATATTATTAGTGTAGTGACTGTTTATCTAATATATATAAAAACATTTTTTATTCGTATTTTATGCGCTGTCATACCGTTCATCAGATTGCGCCAAAACTTTTTAACTTATAGCCTGCATTTGCGCGAAGGTTGTAGGTATAGTATAATTAACTTAGGGTGCTTACATAAAGAAACAGGTTTTCCGTACAGACAAATCTGTGGTGGTCGGTACCGATCTGTGCAGGGTTAACTTGCATAAAGAAACGGGTAAATCTGTCCTTATTGACAACCATGGCCTCCAGTTCATCGGACGACGATTTTTTACCTTTGGAAAATGTTTATTTTAAATTTAGAAAGAAAAGAACTGTTAGTGTCTCCAATATTAACAAGAAAAGAAAAAAATATGGGTCATATTATCATTTGTTTATAAAAGACATAAAGTTTGGTGAACACAGGTTTTATTATACCAGGCACGACAAACAATTAACTACATATTAAATAAAATAGAACTTCGCTTAATTAGGAGATGGTGTAACTGTCATGTTCAAATATCAAATATTTAACTATCAAAACTTCGTTATTTACATCTATTTTCATAAACATACACACCCTACACCGGCAAACGCTTAAACCCATGTGCCGACTACCTGTACCCGGCTAGGTACAGGTAGTCGGCACCGACAAGTTTAAGCCTGTTTCTTTATAAGTGACCGCAAAAGATAACATAGAAATATTATGTCTGGACCGATCGGTACCAACCAGCACACATTTGTCTCTACCGGAAACCTGTTTCTTTATGTAACCAGCACCCTTACACTAGGTGGTGTGCGTTTCGGAACGACAAATTTATTTGAAAGTTATATAGAATCATCATTATCATTGATAATTAAGCAATATAACTACTCCAAATTTAAAACGATATTTCAATAATTATTTCTTTTGCTGCGTTTATTATACGTGGTAGAGCCATGCTGCAGCTATATTGGTAGTATAGATGTAGCATGAATGGGTCAGCGCTACCGGGGAAGGACCACGCTCTCACAGATTATCAGCGCAAAATAGCAGCTTAAAACTGCTGTGTTTCGTATGGTGAGCGGAGAGAACCGGAGACTCTTTTTACTGGAAAAGAGGCATTTCATTTTAGTTCTTACGGGTGACAACGCATCTGCATTTTTATTCTTTACTGAGGATAGATGTAGAAGTCTATCGGCCACAGCAGCCATTTACTATCAGGTGGAATGTGTGCTTGTTTGTCACCCTATCTTATAAAAAAAGTTTTTTATATGGTTTTATCTAATATATAAGAATTAATGTTTTTTTGTTCGTGTTTTATGCGCTGCAGCATCGTAGCCGACCCGCCTGCTAAGCGTGGCGACTATGTCAAATATGTCCCCTATGAGGCAATCTATGGGGGAGGTATGTTCAGCAGTGGAGTATAATAGGCTGTAACTGTAAGGTTGTGGTGTAGGTGAGGGTCCGTGGTCGGCGCTGGCGCTGGCGGCGCTGGGCCGCAACGTGCCGGCACTGGAGCTGCTGCTGGCGGCCGGCGCCGCCGACCCCGCCTGCCGCGCGCTCGCGCTTTGCGCCCGGCACGCGCTCGCCGAGCCGCTCGCCGCGCTGCTAGCCACCAAGGTCGCCAACCCTAACCACATACTATTCTTTTTAATACAGTTGCTCAAAAAGTGGCGTATTGCAGGGACGTATAGCGTTCGGGATGTGGGCTATTACATACTCGTGCTTTTTCTTTACCTTTTCCTAACTCGTGCGTTCTTTTTCCCAACTGTCAAAATAATGTCTATTAAAAAGAAAACACCAACCACGAAGATTATACAAAAAAAACTTCATAGAAGTTTTTATTAAAAGAAGCAAATATTTATAAAAAGAAGCTACTAATTTGTTTCAATATCAGATTTAATGATTTGATTCAATGAGTTAGGTTAGGTTTCATTTCATTTCATATCATTAAATTTAATTTTCATTTCATATCAATAAAAAAATTCTACTGAAGACTTGGCTGTATGGGCATAATTCCCTTTGCCTACCCAGAATGGGTGAAGAAAACAAAAAATCTCTGCTTATATTGTTTTACGTATGGAGTGTAGAGTAGAAGGAGAACCATCTTATAAGGAGCGAAGGTTGAAAAAGTGTCCTACTATTTACTGTAAATAGAGGTTCCAAAACCTACCACAATAGCGCTGGCGTCTGAAAAACTACGATATGAAGATAGCTGTTATGAACGGAGTGAAGTCAGCTGAATTCAAATATTTCATGACTAGAGTAGTTAGTAAAACGCCAATATACAAAATCTCAACTATTTACGTAGTACAAAACCAAGCGGATTGATCGGTCCTTATTTATTTCTCCATCTTACTCTAAATACTTTTGGCGCTTCTTTTTTAATTTATCCTATGCTACTGCAGCGCCACCTTTATTGGACACGTTTTTAGGGACACTTTTCATATACAGAGATGGTCCTCCTTCTACTCTACACTCCATAGTTTTACGGTTGGAGCCATTTTCCAAAATTGTTCTTTATTAAATTGCTTCATTTTTTCGCAACTGTATTAAAAATAGTTGTTCAGTACACGTGCGGAACCCTCATTGCAACTTGTTCCGACTGTCAACCCTCACCTTCGGCTGCGCCTCGGCTCGGGTAGACATTTGTCGGAACTCTTTGTAATGACAGGCTTTCCGCACTCGTAATGAAATATACTATTTTGGAACGAATTTCCTTGTCAGACGGTACAAATAAGTGTAAGATTTTTCCGTCACGACCTCTTTTGACGTAGTGTAGACGGCCTTGGCGGCTATAAGGAAGCAAGATGGAATAATATCCATCTCCCTCGAGCGTTTTCTTATCTTGCCATGAAAGGAATATTATTTTAATTTTAAACGACGCCTCATTATAATGGACGCTAGTAATTCATTTATTTGTATTTGTTAATCAATAATATAATACGTTTATCAATAATGATATACTACAAAAGGAACTTCGTTCCAACCGAGTGTTCCACGACACTCACGCATGTTGTTTTATTTTATTGAGATCAAAATAAAAATAGACGGATTTTAATTTAAGCTGTAAGAGAATTCACCACAACATGTCAAGTCGGAAGAATCGTAAACTTTCATACGCGGTAGACCCACGCTGCAGCTATATTATGGTTGTAGCACGAATGGGTCGGCTCTATCATATAATGTAAAATAATATTTTTTTCATGTCAAGATAAGAAAAACCGCAAGGGAGATGGATATTATTCCATCTCGCTTCCTTATAACCATCAAGGCCGTCTACACTACGTCAGAAGGGGCCGCGACGAAAAAATCTTACACTTTTTTCTCACCTAGCCCCCATCCGTCGAATTCGTACCGTGCAATAAAGAACTTCGCTCCAATAACACCGACAGGCGTACCCGGACCCGGACTACAAGCTGAACAAGTCGTCGATGAGCGAGTCCGTGCTGAACGCGCGCGACGCGGACTCCTCGCTGTCGTACAGCGCTCGCTGCCCCGCCACGCCCGTCATGCTCAACTGGAGGGAGCTGCGCTGCCAGCTGTCTGCCATCAAGTACGTACCACCCCACCACCACACCACCACGCCACACACCACGCTTATAATATTAGTGAACCTCTATGGTCAAGTTGTTGTTTACTGGCTAGTGCAACCCATGCACACTTGCATCCAACTTCAAAGTAATTTTAGAAAAAAATTAATACATACATAAACATAAACACTCACGCCTGTCACCCAGAGGGGTAGGCAGAGACTACGGACTTCCATTTGGCGCGATCCTGACACACCTCTCTCGCCTCTTTTACATCCATATATCTACGCATACACGCTCGTCGGTTATGGGTACTCCTAATCTGGCCCATTTTTAATGTATCGCCGATTTGGTCGATAAACCTTCGTCTAGGGCGTCCCTTCCCGACCCTGCCGTTCACTTCCGCAACATAAATTTTCTTTGTCACTCTTTCCTCGTTCATTCTTTCTACATGACCAAACCACCGAAGCATTCCTTTCTTAATCCTTGTCACAACGTCATCTTGCAAACCACACTTTTCTCTTATCACACTATTTCTCACCCTGTCATTCAGATTCAGCCCTAGCATACTCCTTAAGGAACGCATTTCTACAGCATTTATTCTACTCTCATGCTTCTTCTACCAGACCCAACTTTCACTACCATACATTAAAGTAGGGACTAACACAGCATTATGAATTGCCATACGTGCCTTAGTTGACACATTCTGACTCCTCATAATAGCGTGTAGAGCCCCATTCACTCTATTTCCTGCGTTCACTCGTCGTTCTATATCCTTATCATATCTACCATCCCTGCTAAATAAACATCCCAAATATACAAACTCATCCACTTGCTCAATCAACTCCCCTTCTATTCTTATTTCACATAAAGTTTTACTTTCTTCTCTTTCAAAAACCATCACTTTCGTCTTACTTGCGTTCACTTTCATACCCCTTTCTTTCAATGACCAATTCATTAAAGTAACCATCATTTGCAACTCGGCCGCCGACGATGCAAATATGACTTGATCATCGGCGTACAAAAGGCATTTGACGGTTGACTCACCCATTCTCAACCCACATTCTTCAACTTTCAAAGTTTGCAAACAACTGTCCATAAATAAGTTAAACAGCCACGAGGAAGCCACACATCCCTGTCTGACACCTTTATGAATGCCAAACCAGTCCGAGTAGACCCCGTTGATCCTGACACAAGCACTAGAGTCCCTATAAAGAGATCTTAATGCCTGTATCAAGCCAGCGCTCAACCCAAAAAAACCCAAAAAAAATTAATCTTAAAGACTTATGATATTTAATTGAGAACAAGGGTGGTAATCAAAAACAAATATTTCTAGCCTTACGTCTATGGTTGATTTTGAAATACGTATGAATACGTCATACGTCTTTTATGCTCGAATTCTCAAACGATGCTCAATTTTATTTTTTGTCTCTATCACTTTAAGATAAAGTGACTTCGACATCACGAGACTTAATGATATCTTAAAATTAAGTAGCGTATGAGTATTGTAAAGGAAAGTAAAGTTGCAGCCTATTTACGTCCCACTGCTGGGCACAGGCCTCCTCTCATTTCTGAGAGGGTTTTAGGGCAAGGAAATGTCCGCCGCGCTGCCCCAATGCGTGTTGGCGAACTTCTTTGATATATTTTTTTTCTTATTTCTCAGACATGCAGGTTTCCTCACGATGTTTTCCTTCGCCGCCGAGCACGTGGTAAATCAGCACTTAAAATTGTAATTAACAATTTCATTGGTGCCGGCGGGGATCGAACCCCGGTTGCTAGCGCATTGGGAAGCTTACAGCGAGCGCTAACCATCGGAGATACCACGGCTATGAGTATTGGGCCATTAGAATTATATACACTGTTGAACACAGGACTCACCCACAGATTGCCTCATAGGGAAGATGTGTCTCATAGTTGTTACGCTTGGCAGGTGAATTGGAAAGCGCAGTTTTTAATTTTTACTCGTTACTCGTTACTAGGAAGACGCTACTGCCTATTTCCTGATTTTTTCCCCCTCTGTCGCCTCTTACGACACCCACGGGATGATGTGGGGTAATGGATTGCTACACCAACACTACACGGTAAAACCATAGTTTAAAAACCGTACAGTTGTGAAACGCCTTTGATGTCAGATGATGCCGCCGCCCGTGTAGACATTGACGAGGCCGTAGCATACAGGGGTTGTGACGAAAATAATTTTGAATATTATAATACTCATTATCATTTATTATAACATTATATACTTACTTATAAGTTAAAAACGTTTATCGAACAATATCATTTTCATTACTACAAGAAGAAACACATTTACAAGTGTTGCACTAAAATTAGTTAAATAAGTACAGTCAGGTTTGGCAACTTTACCAATGGATGTTAACTTTGGCATCAGGGGTGTGTCTTAACATTTATCTATAAAACTACCTTGGCAAAGCTACCATATTAGTGATGCCACGATGTGACAGTTACTTTGCCATGTTTTGTATAACCAAGGGTTGTCACTTTCAACCTATATTTTAACCGATTACAACCATTTAAACAAAGTGTTCTGCACTAGACATTCTATGTTTGTATCGATGTTTCACCGTAGCAGCCCATTAGCGCGATTTTACCAAACGAGTCGTCAATCAATTCATCTTTATTAAAAGTGAAGGTAAAGAAAAGAAAATCTACATTATTTTTACTGCAATGTTGGGCATTAGTAATATTATTACTACTCAGTATTTTTCATAATTTCAACTTAGTGTATTAATATTAAGCAAAATATTAATTGTCATTTTAATGATTATTAATGTTTAGCTATTATGGGAAAATATTATTTAGATATAGCTCGTAATTATTGTATATTATATATTACAATAATTACGAGCTGACATCATTTTATTACGACCCGTAATGAAATGGTGACGATGGCTAATAAAAAAACGAATACTTGTTAAAAATTATTGTAACACGTTGTTTTTAATCTATACTATAATTGATTTAAGCTTATTATTGCATCAATTTTATTTTAAATTTTAAACTAGAGTATTTTTGTTTGATATATTTTAGATTTTTCTTAAGAAATTATTGTGACAGGATTTAAATAAAAATATTAAGTTAAGTATGTAATCAAGGACTTTTGACAACCCTGACACATATTTTCAAATTTGTATGAAAAATTGAAAAATGGGAGGGCAACTTTGCCACAAACGTAAACTTTGCTATTTGCAACACAATTAAAGAAGCAAATCATAACTCTGGGTGTTGTGTATTATATTATGAGGTAAACTTACCTTCAGCCTTGAAGTCAAATCCTATTATTTTCATTATAAACCCCGATGGCAAAGTTGCCACAAAGTTAGGTTAACTTTGCCATTTTCTATTTTTAAGTATTTTGTCTATTTAATGTTAGTATTTGTTTAAATCATTAATAAATACCAAATATATGAAAAATAAAATGTCACATTTAACATTGACACCCAGGCTCACAGTACATTTTTTGTTGGAAAATTGGTGTTAAACTTTTATGCCTTTCGAAAAATGGCAATGTTGCCAGGTTTCACGGTACTGTAATACACGCTCGCGCCAATCGCATGTATTGTCTATCAGATTCGGTGAAGTACGCTAGCACAAGGTTGGCCCGCCTCCTGCCCCGCAGTGCCTCCACCGTTGCTCTGCGCAGGCACATTCGTATCCCAACTGTAAGGTCTTAAAACTGTGTTTAGGGAAGTGTCCGCCGCTTTGATATGCACGGTGATAGACTTTACATGTCTTCGAAAAGTTCGAAATCTTTTTTTTTTAATAAAACAAATATTAACAATGATATTAATATTAGTAATATTTCCTTTAACCGCTCCTTGTAACATAAGATAAGATTTATTTGTTAGAATATGGTACATTTAAGGTGTTACAAAATAATTCAGATCCTACATATTCTGCAGTTTCCTGCGTACAAATATTTTCAGACAGATCATGTTAGAATGTAATAGCAAACCAAGACATTAATTATTATAGAATATAAATATACTTACAGCTATACTTAAGGAAACTAAATAGCTAATAATAATAACTAATATTTTTAGTTAAAACATGTCAATAAATTAAGTCGAGATGAATTTCAATAATTACAATTCAAGTCAAATTTATCATTTAAGAAGTCATTTATAGAGTAATAACATTTATTTAAAAGAAATTGAAATAATTTACTTTTAAAGATTCCTATATTCATTTTTATGAAACAAATAGGCGATTTTTTTTTGGAGTTTATGGCCTGGTATCTAGACCTTTAGGCCAAGTCTTAAGTATTTTTATTCGGTTTATTGTAATTTCCCCACTCCTTCATAGTATACTGCTTCACAATATGTTGATGCGTCACATTGTGCAGTTCTTGGGAGATTTTGGCGGCAACTTGATCCAGCAGACAGCTGATAGTTGGCGATGGTATCTAAAGGTGCCTATGCAAACAAACAGCTTATCTTGAGAATCCATCACCATCAGAGCACTTGTTTCACTGTTTCCACTAATAGTTCACATGCGTAGACACTTAATACACAAAATCGCAACACTTTTACATATCAAAGTCCACTTCAAACCATTATTTAAACAATAATACAGGAGCAGCAAACCGCCGCCGGTCAATTTCCCGCCAAAAACCCCAAAATAGGCGATTTGTTGTAAACATGTATTGCCATACAATATATATTTTTTGAAAGCTAAGTAAAATGAAGTAAGCTTCAAATGTTTGTGTTAAGGAGTGATTCACGACAGTAGTCGGATGGTGGATTCGAATTCACGACCTTTTGGGTTTGTATATGTAATAAATACTGTTAACTCTATAAAAAATATAAAACTTATCTGAGTAATCCCTGGAACAGGATGAGCTGGCTACGTACTGCGGCACTCCGCGTGAACCCGAAGCTCAGCGCGTCCGGCGGTGGAGCTCTGTTAGCCCTGACGAGGATCGAACTGGCCAACAACGAGCTGCGGGAACTTCCCAGGGAGCTGTTCTCCCTGATTAGTTTGCGGTGAGGGTTACTTTTTTTAAATTCTATAGCGATTCTTTTGTCATACAAGTGGTATATTTAAAATTTTGTACAAACGACTTCAATATGAATATAATTTATTGTTGATTTTTTAATAGCCTCTCGACCGATTTCGATAATATTCAAATGAGACCACCTGAAAAGTGTACCATTTGAAACAAAAAAAAATTCTCCAAATCGGTTCAGGCGTCTTTGAATAATCGGTGAACATACTTAAAAAATGCGATAGTTGCTTGGATCATTTCGAGTTTCACTACTCTGTGATGTGAAACTAGTAACCTACGAGTATTTGTTTTTAGATTAAAATGCACAATTCAGAGCTGGTGTTATAGAAGATTTAATCAAATCAAATTAATTAAATTATTTATTTGTAATCCAAGTGTACATATTTGGCCTTAAATTAAAGACGTGCTTACAACTTACACGCCCTTTTCAGGCTTCATTTTCTCATTTTGTTTTCGTGGTTTTTTAAAATTCTAATTTAAGTTATATTCAACGTGTAGTGTTCGCGTTAACATAAGAAATCATTTATTATAACAAACGTGTAAAAATGTCTGGATTACTTTGTCAGGTATTTGAATGCGGCTCAAAACAAACTGGAGCGCTTGCCAACCACCGCTGACCCACTCGAAGAGGAGTTGGAGAGGAGCAGACGCGGCAAGAGACCGGCGAAAGCTTCAGCAGAAGTTTACACGGCGCCCGTGTTGCAGGAGTTGTATTTACAGGTATGTTTGATCTTGGACACAGTTGATGCAGTCCATGTTTTACCGCTGAAATCCACATACTCTCCGTAGGGCATCCATTCCCGATTATTGACAACCATTTATTACTTTTAATTATAATAAACTATTGAACTGAAACCTTCTGAACGTAGTACTATTATTTATTCTGTATAAATAATAGTACTACGTTCAGAAGTTGCTATCTTTTGATGTAGACTGCTTACCGACGTTTTGATAGCCTACATAATTATTATTAATCAGATAAATCGCGCACGCAAGCTAAATGTATCTTTATCGCTGCGCGCGAGTGTACATATTACACTTTGTATCTTTTCCCCTTTGGTTACTAAGGGCTGTTAAAAAAGAGTAAAGAAATACATTGTAAAATGGTAAGTAAGTGAAAGGGTCCAACAGACAGGGATAGTCATTCATAGACGTTCTATCCCGAAACTTTAATCACACCACGTTGGGTCCGGGAACAACGAGGTGGAAGTGACCCCCGTGAAGGAGTGTCACACAAGAGCGTCCGTTGCTTTCTCTCAAAAGAAAGGTTAGATTACGGGGTGAAAGAAGAACTATCTAAATCGGTTCACTTGACGCATGCTGACTGTTCTATTTAAGAATAAAAGATGCGACAAAACTACAATGAATGTATTCACAAAGAAAACTAGAGAATTATTTTTTTATTAAAAAATTCTAATTTATCTAGCACTGAGTGGGAATTTTCTTCCTTTTCTTCCTATTGTTCACTGGAGGGTCAGCGTAGGCCCGCGATCGCTCCGAGCGTGGTGATTGACCGCAACGTATAGCGTGTAAAAGTTGTTAAGTTAAGTAAGTTAAGCTCTGCGTAATAAAGAAAATGTCTTACCTAGTTTGAAGAGCATCTCCCGCTCTCCCTCAAGGCTCCAGCAAAGTTTTCTCTTAATTTTTTACATTTATGTATTGGATTTCCGCAAAGCAACGCCTTATTTTATTAATTTTATCGGTGCGTGGTGTGCGGGGTGACACAGAGGGTGGGGGGGGTTCCTCTCGCCATCCGCAACACACAGTCGCCTCTTATGACACCCACGACAAGATTTTATTACGGCGTAATAAAATTAATAAAAACATTTTTCAGGACAATCGCCTGGAAGAACTGCCTCCGGAGCTATTTTCTCTACCTTCCCTCACGAGTTTGGACGTGTCTAATAACAAGTTGCGCGCGCTACCCCCTCAAATGTGGAGCGCGGCCTGTCTCCGCGACCTGAACGTAGCTCTCAACCATCTCCGGGAACTGCCAGCCAGCTGTGGACACGAGGTTGGTGCAACGAAGGAAACTCGTGTTAATTTTTTGTCAATGAGAAAACTGTGATTGCAAACTCGCTTTATCTCTTTCACATTTAGTAGTTTCTTCTTCTTCATCAGCCCGTAAAGTAAAATACTTCTGTTGTTCATAGGTCTCTCTCATTGAAGGTAGAAATTAGACATCTCGCGTGGTAGGCAGATAGACAGACCTTGCCTACTATTTTTATTTATTTTTATTTTATTATTACACAGTCGCCCAGATTGGTAAGTGGATGTTGTGGCCCATAAACGGCTATCAATACTTTAGAATTATAATGTAGGTGCGTTTTTATCCCTGAGGACTAAGACGGAATGCTTCATTTCCAGTAAAAGGGTCTCCGGTTCTTTACACCCACCATACGAAACACAAAGCGTGACAATTTTTTATATTATTCTTTAAAAAAAAAAATCTTACCCTTACACTAAGATTTTCTCCTGTATCGCGGGGGCAGTTTACATACATGGCTTTCACAAGGACTAACATCCAGAACCAGAACAATTATTTGTAGGCCATACAAATACTTGTTCCGTTCGGGATTCGAACCCGCGGCCCTTAGTGCTGCAACTTATTCCTAAACCACTGCTCCACGGAGCTGTCAAATTTATGACAAAATCTATGACAAAATCCTCCTTATGAGACAATCTATGGGAGTGGCCTATGTTCAGCAGTGGGGTTTTATAGGCTGTTATGGATTATGGGGGATTTCGTTCATTATCTTCCATCCACAGATGCAGCACAGCTACTCTCCCGCAGTTCAGTTCTCTTCACCATCAGACGTGTCTCCGCAACTTAGCGCTTCGCCTTCGGTCAACAGCGGCCAATTCGCGTTCGCCGCGCAGTCCGTAAGTGGAGTCGAACATTTCTATAAGACTGATCTCTGTCTCAAGTAAAGAAATAAAACATCTTTGCAGTCCACACGCGGTAGAAGCGAAATCTTCAAATGAAATGGAATATAAAATGTTCTTATATTTCACGATCAACTAATTATTTATTAAGATAATTTTCAACTACAAATGCGGTATAAATTATAAGACAAAAGTTTAGTTTAAATGATAAATGCTAAATTTTAGCATTTATCATTTAAACCATCTATTTCATTCAATTGGTAAAGTCAGTCTCTCAAGGTGGCACCTAGAAAAGACGCTAGATGGGCTAAACACGACTAATTCTTAACACTTATTTGTGGCCTTCTTTGGTCTAATTCACCGTGGGTGACCAAGCCCAGGCCAAAAAGTCCAGTTCACCATTAGCTCTGTGTCACTTTCCATCGCACACGAATAAAAATACTGTAACGATTTCTTTTTACTTTTTATAAGTAATTGTGAACTTTTCTGTTACTTCTCGATTTAGAAGTCATCGTCACGGAGTCCATCTATCGACGAAAGCGAGTGCTCGCCCGATGATGATGACGAGATACTGGTGATCGGAAACCGAGCTGGAAATGCAGTGTAAGAAAAAACATTCCTATAGTCTTTGTATTGTAGCATGATTCGGATGACAGGTAACTAAAACGTAACTTGCGTGCGTTTGCAAGATACGACAAAAGTATTAATTACTAGCTATTCTCCGCGACTTTGCCCGCATGTAATTTAGGGTTTTAAGTTTTTTGCGCAGAACCTTAATTCTTTTTATTAAATAAAAGTTGTCTATGTTACTCCTTATAACATCAGCTATCTGCCAATGAAAGACTACTTATATTATAGAAAAAGAATTATGGGTCCGCGCAATATAACTAAAACCCTAAATTACACGCGGGCGAAGTCGCGGGGAACAGCTAGTTAGTGCTACAACCAATAATAGCTGTAGCATGACTTTACCACGTGTGAGTGTTCTATTCTGTTATTACTATTAGATTAACATTAACCTCAAAAATCTCACCTAATATAGTTTTTTTACTAATGAAATTATAAAAGTTTCATTTATTTCAGTTGCGTGCGCAGTTAGATCCTATGCTTACTAGCGGAAATTTTCTTTTAATTACAATAGATGTGACTCTTAATGGGTTGTGTTTGGTGATTTGGACATGTTGACAGAATGAATGAGGAAAGAATAATAAAGCAAAGGATACAATTATTTTGGGCCCAATACTAATAGTAATGTTAGTTAATATAAACATAAAAAAAAAACAATTTATTACAGTAAACGGGCTAAAGATAGTATGAAAGTCATCACGTAACCGCAATTATGAAATTTAAGGAATGTATTGATAAACCTGTTCCATTTAATGTGTGAAATAAAAAAATGCTTGTAACGAAGCGTTTCTGCAGTTTGTATTAAAAAATAAAAATATTTTAATGAATTACGACGTTAGGAAAACCATTTTTAAAATTTTGCTTGTCTAAATGACTGTTTGTCTGCTGGTATGTCTGTCTGTTTATATGTTTGCCTCTTTGTGTGCTTCGTCTGGATAGGATCTATTAATGTGGTGTTATTAAGATTTAAAATAATAAATACAATTTATTAAAAAAAATCTTGTTTAAAAATACTTCAAGTTTTTCAGATAAAATATAGTCTAGCTCCCTCCTAGCATTGTTCTTTATCTGTTTATAAAGTTTCATTGCAATTGGTTCAGTTATTCCGAAGACGGACAGACAGACTCGGGCAGACGGACAGACAGACAAAATTTTGACATCCAACGGGATTTTTTTCAAAGCCAAATTTTCTACCAGAATACAGTTTGTTCAAAAGACTTACAAAGAAACAGCTTAGAAGCGACGGAAGAGGGGTACACACACCCATCGATATAGCTTTCTCTTTCTACTGCGGGTGCTCGAAAACTCGGTGCGCACACGCATAATGCTGCTTCGAAGAGGGAGACAAGCTATGCCGAATATATAGCTTTCCCTTTCCATCGCAGGTGGTCGGAAGCTCGGCGTGCGCACGCATGGCGAGGTGCGCTCGCGGCTTCACCGCCACCGCGACGTGCTTCAGCGGCGACGGATCGGGCAGCGGCGCTCGCGTCGCTCAATCTGTCGCACAACCAGTTTACCAACGTGCCGCCGCCGCTCGCCTGCCTCGCGCCCGCCCTAACCCGGCTCAACATGGCCTACAACTCGCTCAGGTGAGCTGTCATGTAGCTCACATGATATCTGTATTTACTGTACTTATGTTGTACTTGTATCTCATTGTACACCTAGAACAAGCCTAATAGTTACTGTTTTTATAAATTTACTAATACGATTATATAAGAACCTTACCACAGCTTTATTATAAGTTTCGAAAATGAAAGTGAGAATGCATTTTTCTGCATCTGGTTGTCGCCATAATGAATCATGATTACTGGCATGTCTTCGATGACATTCGCAGGCTTAAAATAAATCGCTTGACGTAAAATTCATCAAAGTCCCTCCACGCGTTGTCCAGTACGAAGTAAGCGTGCTACATTTATTTTGAAACGATTTTGCTTATTATCAGCAAAAAAAGGAACTAAATAAATATGTAGCCTACTAAGAATCTAATTTAATTCAATAACATGCCTTTCATATAATCAAAAACTAATAAGTGGTTATTGCTTAGAATAACGAAAACTCGGACGTCAAAGATTTTCCTTGGTGATTAAATTATATTTTTTTTATCTCGTTTAACATAAAGTTAATTTAAAAATCCATTCGATTAAAAATTAAACTAAGCATTTCAAGTATGCGCATATTTTCTCCGAGCACATACTATTTCAAGAAGTATCAATTCTCGCGCGCTGAAATCGTGTCTAAAATACGATATGTTGTCCAACCTAACCTTAAGAAAGGTGGTTTCAAAACGAATTGGTTTTTTTCTCATTCATTCCAGCAGCCCATCAAAGTTATACAAAACCGCACAAGTTAACCGTGTAGCGGTGGCGGTGTAAGGATATTCACTACTACAACTTGGCCAAAATAATTAGGCGCATGACAGGAATGTGGTTTCGGCGCCCGCACCCCCCGCCTCCATCCCCCCGCTTCCCCTTGTGACTGGAATCACAGTTCCGGTGTTTTCTTTCTACTTCTAATGACGTCTTTTTTAAGCTTTTTTATAGGATAAGTGTGACAAACGAGCACATAGTCCACCTGATGGTAAGTGGTTTTTGTGGCCCATAGACTTCTACATCTATTCTCGATTACAAATCAAAATGCAGATGCGTTGTCACTCGTTGCGTTGTGAGGACTAAGAAAGAATGCCTCTTTTCCAGTAAAAAAGGGTCTCCGGTTCTCTATACTCACCATACGAAACACAGCAGCATTAAGCTGCTATTTTACGCTGATATTCTGAGAGAGCGTGGTCCCTCCCCGGTAGAGCCGACGCATTCGTGCTACAACTATACCAGTAATATAGCTGCAGCATGGCTCTACCATGTATAAAACGTTTTACCTGTCATGCGCATAATTTTTTTGGTCACGTATTAGATATCGTCCCGTGGGCATCGTAAGAGGCGACAGAGAGAATGGGAAACGAACCAGGCGATGGAAAGCAGCGTCTTCCTGATGACAACTAGGAAAAAAAACCAAGGTTGCAAATCCGTTATGACTGAATACCGTAATAGCCTATCAAAGTCCATTGCTGTACATAGGCCTCCTCCATAGATTGTATCATTTTTCAGATTGTATCCTCCATAGATTGGATATTTGCCATAATTGTCATGCTTGGCGGTTGGGTTGGCAAGTGCAGATTTTGGAACGAAGTTCCTTATCGCACGGCACGAATTTCGCGGATGGTGGCTAGGCGAGAAAAGTGTAAGATTTTTCCGTCACAACCCCATCTGACGTAGTGTAGACGGCCTTGGCGGCTATAAGGAAGCGAGATGGAATAATATCCACCTCCCTCGCACTTTGTCTTATCTTGCTATGAAAGAAATATTATTTTATTTTAAATGACGCTTCATTTTAATAGACGCTAGTTCTTTTATTTGTATTTGTTAATCAATAATAATATTCTAAGAAAGGAACGTTGTTCCAACCGAGGGTTGCACGACACTCACGCATGTTTTTTTATTACTTCAAAGTGTTATCGGTAAAATTCTGCTGCCCATCTGTTTCTTTTCCCTTTGTAATATGATCCCGTGAGTTTTGTAAGAGGCGATTAATTTAATAAAAAAATAATTAAAATACATTAAATTGCTATAAATCCATACCAAGTTTTTATAGCCATTTCGCTTAACTACTTACGTCATCTGCAGATCCATGTCGTACGTGACGTCATATCCGACGAGCTTGCGACAGCTGGACCTCAGTCACAATGAAATAACTTGCTGGCCAAGTCTTCCACAAGTAAGTCACGATTTGTCATTATACCCTACACATTTGAATATCGTGAATGTTCTGTTTTAGAGTTGAAGTGATAACTTCTCTTATACTAAGCCACCAGTACCTCTTTATTATGTATTGTATTTGTACGTGGTAGAGCCATGCTGAAGCTATATTAATTGTATAGTTGTAGCACGAATGGATCGGCTCGACCGGGGAAGGACCACGTTCTCACAGAATACCAACGTAAAATAGCAGCTTAACGCTGCTGTGTTTCGTATGGGGAGTGTAGAGAACCGGAGAGACCCCTTTTACTGATAGCGAGACATTCCATTTTAGTCCGCACGGGTGACAACGCATCTGCATTTTGAATCGCAAACGAGGATAGATGTAGATCTCTATGGGTCACAGCAGTCACTTACCATCAGGTGGACTGTGTCTCGCTTGTCACCCTTATCCTAAAAATAATTACTGGAAAAAAGTGAAATTTTGATTATTTACTAACTTTTTTATATAATGCTTAATGCATTGTTTCAGCTTTTTGATTTTATTTTTGCATTATTGACTTCCTAATGAAACCGCTTTGGGCTACATCGGTTGGATGATTTCAAAGTCTATAATGGACACAGGTAGAATCATTTTTTGTGTTTTATATCTATAGAATAGAATTTATTATTTTTGAAGGCATTACTAGTTCTATGGGAATTAAGTTATTTGTATAATCGTCAACTCGACCGGGGATGAATTATGGTCGTACATAATACCATCGTTAAAATAGCAACCTAATGCGTATTATTTTTGCGTAAATACAATATTATTTAAATTAAATTTAAACAATATGTAATATCCACCAGGTTGAAAGCTTCGGCTCAACGGAAGGCGATCCTCTGGCCTGCTATTGTCCCAATTCTTCAAATAACAATAACAACAGACCGAGGCCTCGATCTGGAGGTTCCGTGAGATCTCAGCTACTGAGCGCAGCATGTCCAGCCAGAAGACATTTGAGATTGGAGGGACTGAGAACCTTGGTGAGTTGAGATTTAATTTTTTTTTCCAGCACTTATTCTCATTTCAGTAAGGAGTAGAAACTTTCGTCTTCGTAATAGTTATTATTATTGAATGTAAAAAAAAAATCATGATCTATCCAAAATGTTCACATTAATGTTCCCAATTTTAATGCTATTATTCAGGTCGAATTTTCTTAAGGCTTTGTATTTCTATAGTTGTTACAACTATTAAAATTTAGCTTTCACACTTATTTTATTATATAACAGGTTTTAAATTATTTACTTACCCATTATCAGAACATACATTGAAAATGGGCCAGATTAGGAGTACCCTTAACCGACGAGCGTGTATGCGTAGATATATGGATGTGAAAGAGGCGAGAGAGGTGTGTCAGGATCGCGCCAAATGGAAGTCCGTAGTCTCTGCCTACCCCTCTGGGTGACAGGCGTGAGTGTTTATGTATATGTATTATCAGAACCAAAAAATCAGTTGAAAGATCAAAGGAGAATTTCTTAGACCAAATGGTCAATTAGAATTTAATTTTCTTATTCGCATAGTCACCGTATCATCTCATTGATATTTGTGGTGATAATCGGAAATATCTGAAAAACCGCATTGTTTCCGATAGATAATGTTAAAACTATTTTGTAAATGGCAAATATTCCGTAAGGAATTGCCTTGTGGTGGCGACGTATAAGAATCCATAAGCCTTATTTGTCCCGTGGGGACCGTGAGAGACAACTATGGGATATGCGGAAAGAATCCTATGGCTTCCAATATTTGGTGGTACAACTATCTCGTTTACGCCGGGCGTAAAATATCTAACCGGAAACGGGCATTAGGGTCAAAGAATGTTACTGCGATTGGTAATTCGCTTACTAAGCGTGCCAGTGCTTGTGCAATCTCACCTGGTGGTGGTGGTGCGTGGTAATAAAACCAGTTTTAACCAAAAACTTTACTTCTTTTTTTAATAGGATAGGATGACAAACAAACACACAGTCCACCTGATGGTAAGTGGTGGCTGTGACCCATACACATCATACACATTCTTTTACGTGGTAGAGCCATGCTGCAGCTATATTAGTAGTATAGTTGTAGCACGAATGGGTCGGCTCGACCGGGGAAGCACCACGCTCTCACAGAATGTGTTTCGTATGATGAGTGTAGAGAATCGGAGACACTTTTCACTGGAACCAAGGTACTCCATTTTAATCTATGAATGACAACACATCTGTATTTTGATTCTTAACCGAGGATAGATGTAGATCAGCCACATCATCCACTCAGCATCAGGTGGTCTGTGTGTTCGTTCGTCACCCTTATTCTATAATTTAGAAAAAGAGAAAAGGAAAAATAGAGACACAGAACAACTTTAAGCATTACTTAAATTGACGTTGACTTTATGTATAAAAGTCTTTAATTATTAATACTAATTATTTTATTTTAGATTCTAGCAAACAACTTGCTGACTCGCATCCAATTGACGACAGACGATGACGGACTCGTCTCAACAGTCAACGATCAGTCGCATGATGAGGACGAAGAATGGGTTAGTTAAGCATCTTTATTTGAAACTATATAATCATTGACGTACTACTAAATGGACGGCGGGTCTAGAACAAAATTCACGAAAAATGTGTCCCGAGTCAATCTATATAAGCGTAGGTACATGTGTAGAAATATAAAAAAAACTATTACATCCTAATTCAAACCATATTGTCATTAGAAAACTGCTCAATTTTACTTGCGACAATTTATCAGCCTATTAACTTCGAAAATTATCGGTATTATTACTTGTTTTTTACAATTAATATGAACTTCAGATTATATACTATGTACCCAAGCAAAATATTACTTTTAAATGATTAAATATTAATAGTTATTACTGAAAATATGATACACCATCCTTTTTTATGACTTTTCTAAACTAGTTTTATTATGTACGGTATTTTGGACTTGTAAGTCGGTCGATAAAACGAAGGCTGACGCGTGATTGGAACTCTTTGCATTTTGGAACTCTTGAATCGGATACATTTGGGTGCGGATCCAAGGTCCATTTAGTAAAGTTTGTATATAATAGATAATTGTACCACATGAATATATAATATTACATTTTAATTTATGCATCAACAAGTAAGCATTCGATTCAGCATTCTGCCGCGGTGTAACATTGAGAAAATAAACACTATAATGGAAAATAATAATAATTATAATAAAACTAAAAAACGGAACATAAACTGAACATTGTTCTATAACAAAACAAAACAAACCAAAAACAGAAAATAATTCAAATTCTTCCACAAAGATTTAATTATTTTTTATTTATTTGAGTAACAAATATTTAACAGGCGATCTGGTAGTAAGTGGTTACTTTAGTCCGTGGACATTTGTAACCTCTCTCAGGCAAAGAACGCCTCAGATGCTTTTTCAGATGTTATCAGATGATCCCTAAGGACTTTAATCTGATGATAATGATAAATGTGTAGTATTGAAATAAATAAAAGAAATTATTATTACACTTTCTACAGTGTAGCTGCGATGGAAGAGTATCCATTACTCCATATCGTCCCATGGGTGTCACAAGAGGCGACGGAGGGAAATAAATAAGGAGAAGGGCAGCAGCCTCTTCCTGATAATCTCGTAACTCAAAAGTAAAAAAACATGCGTGGGTGTCGTGGAACACTCGGTTGGAGTGAAGTTCCTTTCGTAGTATATTATTATTGATAAACGTATTATATTATTGATTAACAAATACAAATAAATGAATTACTAGCGTCTATTAAAATGAAGCGTAATTTAAAATAATATTTCTTTTTTGGCAAGATAAGAAAAAGTGCGAGGGAGATGGATATTATTCCATCTCGTGCGTACTATTGAAAGGGGCCGTGACTGAAAAATCTTACACTTTTTCTCGCCTAGCCCCTTCCGTCAAATTCGTAGCGTGCGATAAGGACCTTCGCTCCAAAAGCTGTGGTTGCTAAACCGCCTGCCAAGCGTGTCAATTTTTTTGGCAATTAATGGCAAGTACATGTAAGTAAAGAGGCAATCTTTCGCAGCAGTGGACTTTGATAGGCTGTAATGATGGTGATGATGATAATGATGACGATTACATATTCTATTAATTTCCCAGGGTTCCGGTTCAAACGTTAAGGAGCGACTACTGTTCCCCCTTCTGTCCATGTTGGACGTGTCTTGTAACTTGTTGAAGGCCGTCCCGCCCGCAATCCACGAACTGACCAACTTGTCCGTTCTCAATATCAGCGGAAACAAGGGTAAGGATGATTTTTAACATGTTATTATTAGATTGATTTGTAGGTAATAAAAAAAAAAACATGCGTGAATGTCGAGGAACATTCGGTTGGAACGAAGTTCTTTTCGTAGAATATTATTATTGATAAACGTATAGTACGTTTATCAATAATAATATTCTACGATTCTATTAATTAATAAATACAAATATTAATTTTATCTTAGGCTAGTATTCATTTGAATTACTAGCGTCTATTAAAATGAAGCGTCATTTAAAATTAAATAATATTTCTTTCATGGCAAGATAAGAAAAAGTGTGAGGGAGATAGATATTATTCCATCTCGTTTCCTTATAGCCGCCAAGGCCGTCTACACTACGTCAGATGGGGTCGTGACGGAAAAATCTTACATTTTCTCTCGGCTAGCCCCTATCCGCCAAATTCGTTCCAATAATGTTGTTACGGACGGCGTGGGGAGCCGCCGCCCCGTCGCCCTCTCATACCCCGTTACGCCCCGCGCACCTCGCACACCGCCCGAACGTCACTTGATGCCGCCGACCAATCAGCGCGCGGCACACCTTATAAGAACACGCTCGTGCCGAGACACCCGCCACGGGAATATAAGAATATAGCGTCAAATAGCAGCTTAACACTGTTGTGTTTCGTATGGTGAGTGTGAAGAACCGGAGACTCTTTTTACTGGCAAAGAGGCATTCCATCTTGGTCCTCACGGATGACGGCGAATCTGCATTTTGATTGGCAACGAGGATAAATGTGGATGTTTATGGGCCGCAGCGGCCGCTTGCCATCGGGTGGACTGTGTGCTCGTTTGTCGCCCTATCCTATAAAAAAGAAGGGTGTTTTGGGATCCCAAATCATTCACCTTCGGTTTAATTCGACAGCGGCACTCTAGAAAGAAGAATCAAGAAAAAGTCAAGACTCCATAGAAGACTCCTTCCTGTGAATAACAGTAGTTGTTATTGCCGCTCTGTAAATAGTGTAATATATAATCGTCAAGAGTACCATCTTTTCTTCCATAAACGTCCCTAGTATAGTTCACCCTTACACACAGTAAATAAATAACATAAAATCACATACAGTCCACTGCAGTCCCCTACAAAAGTCTTCCATACCGAAATTCGGTCAAGACGGACAGTTGCAATGGAGTCTAGCTATCTGCGCAAGTCATCAGTAGGGTGTAAGTGCACTCTCTATTGCTTCACTTTCATAGTCTGATGGACGATAATCCGACACGGTCGGTGGGAGATCAGGCGCAGAAACAACGGCTTTACGTGCTTCTGAAGCACACGGGTGAAACACCGCTAACTTCCTGGCTCCGGGTTGCTATTGAATTTTTTTTAACTGATTTCACGCCGGGATTCCAACCCGGAGCCACATTATCAGAAGTCGCACTTACGACCACTTGAACAACGAGATAGTCTTGTATGTTTATTTTTGTAGAATAAGGGTAACAAACGGTACCCCCAATGATAAGTGTGTACTGTGGTCTATCCTCGGTTAAGAATCTGCGAAATGCAATCGATGAAAATGCATATGCGTGGTCCCCCTGAGAACTATGATGGAATGCTTCATTTCCAGTAAAAAGGGGTCTCCGGTTCTTTACACTCACCATACGAAACACAGCAGCGTTAAGCTGCTATTTTACGCTTGTATTCTGCGAGAGTGTGGTTCTTCCTCGTTCGAGCCTACCCATTCGTGTTACAACCACAATATAACTGTAGCATAGCTCTACTACGTATAAAACCTACGAAACCAACTCTATAATGGAATCCTAGGAATGAGATGAGGTAGTGAATACTCTTAATCTTAAGAAACCATTAAAACGAGATTTATTGTTACAGACATAACGGAACTACCCCCACAAATGGGCCTTCTTACCAGGCTCTGGAACCTGAACACGTTAGGATGTTCTCTAAACGAGCCCCTCCGTTCCATGGTGAGGGGATCGCGGTGCCGAAGTGTGGACGTGGTGGGCTACCTCCGCTCTGTATTGCAGGAAGCCAAGCCGTACGCCAGGATGAAACTCATGCTTGTTGGCGTTCAGGTGTGTCCAAACTAGTAGATATAGGAAGTTTGGTTTATTTGTGCTATTTTCAATAATTATTATAATACATATAAAACATATGGTGTTCAAACTAGTTACAAAACTTATTTAAGAAACAACTTGGAAGCGACCACCTCATTCCCAGGGATTATTATCAACCATGTATTCATTTATATTATAATAGCACTGTTTCTGTTTATACAGCTTTTGTTTAGTAAAATATTTAAACTTGGTAATAGAGAAACCTTGTATGTTTTCTTGAACTTTGATGTAACATCGTATACATTGTCTTATAAATAAATTACTGAATTGTGGAGTCAGATAACTGGTATCACTAGTTTGTGTTTGTGTGCTTCTGGTGTGTACGGTGTACATTACTTTTTTACTAAAACTACTTTTGTTTTCGTGAACATACATTTCGTATATACTGAGAGGCCAAAGATAATATTATATTTATTACTTTAAATTTTAATCCCTTTCCTATAATGTCCCATGGATTATTGTTGTGGGGATTGGCAGTTGATTTTGAGAATATATTTTATTATCCCTTCGTTTCGTCATTTGCCATCTGTACCATATGCAAATCCAGGGGACTCACTCAGAAATCTTTTTAAACAAATTTATATACTAACCAATGCTTCATAGTTCAAACATAAACAAATTTATGTTAGAAACTATTTTAAAACCTTTGATAAAAAGAATTATGTTCATAACTTTAATTTAGTTCTCGCCCGTCGGTGAGTATGATGAGTGTCGAGATTTAGAGCTCTATTTAACTGGAAATAAGGCATTCCACCTTAATCCACAGGGATGACAACGCACCTGAATTTTGATTCATAATCGAGGATAGATGTAAGATGTCTATGGGCCACAGCAATCACTTACAGTCAGGTGGGCTGTAAGTTCGTTTATCATTTCGGTATTAGAAAAAAAAACTTGCATCAATCTGAGCGCGTATCACAAAGTCGTCATTTCATCAAGATGTTGTAGTTACATACTCATAGATATACTTTACAGGGTATCGGAAAAACGAGTCTGCTGGAGTGTCTGAGACAAGAATCCGCTATACAACACCGGAGAAAACCGACAGACGTAGGTATCTTGTAGTTTAGTGTTGATCTATGCTTAATTTGCTACATAATATGCTCTATTTTAACTATTGTTTGCATCAGTTACCTGAAAGGATGATTGTCTGGAAGACATCACTTTCAGAATGATAAGACTGCCTGTTGCACATATTATTATAGTTTAAGTACGAACGTAAGTACATTAATTAATAAATAAATAATTTGGCTTGCTCCATTGCAGCCAACATTTGCATTGCGGTGAAAAAACGAGCACACAGTAATCCTAGTAATTAAACCGAATAAATTTATTAAACCTTGTAAATTTATTGTGTAATAAATAATATATTACAAATACTTGTGGCAGAAGAAGCATGAGAGTAGAATAAATGCTGTAGAAATGCGATCATTAAGGAGTGTGTTAGGGATGAAGCTGAATGACAGAGTGAGAAATTGTTTAATAAGAGAAGAGTGTGGTTTGCAAGATGATGTTGTGACCAGGATTAAGAAAGGAATGCTTCGGTTGTTTGGCCATGTAGAAAGAATGAATGAGGAAAGAGTGACAAAGCAAATTTATGTTGCAGAGGTGAACGGCATAGTCGGGAAGGGTCGCCCTAGGCGAAAGTTTATCGACCAAATTGGCGATATATTAAAAATGGACCAAATCAAGAGTACCTTTAACCGACGAGCGTGTATGCGTAGGTATATGGATGTGGAGGAAGCGAGAGAGGTGTGTCAGGATCGTACCAAATGGAAGTCCATAATCTCTGCCTACCCCTCTGGGTGACAGGCGTGAGTGTTTATGTTATGTTATGTTACTTGTTCCGTGCGGAATTCGAACCCGCGGCCCCCAGCGTAAGCTAAGCTAAGCCATTGCCATCATTGCTAAGCCACTGCGCCACGGAGCCGTCTAGCTCTAGCTGAATAAAGCGTCTCCCACACACAAGCGGCTTGCGGTGGCGGCTAACCGCGGGCCGCGGCTCCAGCCGCTGCAACAACACACTACCACGGTCGCAGCGGCGGCCTGAAGCGTCATTCATGTGGTGTCTGTGCTACTATGAGACATCAGTAACATGGCTAACCGTGATGAAGTCTTATTATATTCAGCAATATTATCATATATGTTGTTTTTAATCCTAATGCTTTTGTAATCACGATGCGAATTACCATAACTACTGGATAAATTTGCTCTGTTTCTATTTAAATCTCTGAATTTAGCACCATTTTGCACGCGGTACACGCGGCCTGTTGTAAAAATTTGCAACTGACCGCGCTGCGGCCACCTACTGTTCGCGTACTCGCTAACATACACGCGTTGACGGAAAGGGCGGAGCATGCGGCCGCGGCCAGCCGCTTGCAGATCTTACCATAGCCGCACGGGTTTGCAGACTCTCTTACATTGCAAGCGAATACAACTGATACAGTCTCACTGTCGTTACTACTATGCCTGTTGGGGTATTCTACTAGTGTAGGCAAGGAAGCCAGTGTTGCTGAAGGGCTGCCCTGTGTTACATTGAGATGGGTTATCATGGAATTGGAGTCCTGATAGTAAGCAGGGTTTGTTACCGAGTAGTGTTCTTGTATTTAAATAATTTTGAGAATAATTTCTAACATCAGAAGTGGAATAGTATCTTACAATATATAATAAAGTACTTGCTAATGTTATATAAATATATATACTTAATAAAAGTAAGTACTCACCATGTAAAAGTAGTGCCATTTGGGAGAGGTTCATTTCCTGCTGCCGAAATTAGGTATATTGAATATTTGAGGAAATCAAGCTATAAATCAATGATGCCTAATGACCTCATGCTCAACAGATGTCGCTAGTTGGGACTAAGGTGAACTTATTTGTTACGCAAGAAAGTCACACACTATCATCATCATAAAAAAGTTGCGATTTAATAATAAGTATTTTTAATTTCAGTGTTTTTATATAAAAAAAAAATTCTTCAGTGCTGTATTCATTAATTATTACACTTTTTTTTTAATTCTACTTTTAGGAATATCCGTAGTATTATCCAATTCTTATCTAACTAATATTTTTGAAAGAAACATTGATATTTACACTTTTCTAACAATTTAACTTCTCCCTAAGTGGCGCTGCCCTGGTAGCAAAAAAATACGTCTATCCCCATCACTAACCCCAACACCACTAGGAAACACACGTACGTCGATAATTCGACACGTGTTTCGTCTCTCAACGCGGCATAATCAGGAGAAATAGGCTCTGCGATAGGTAACAACTAATTTGAATTTTTGGAACGAAGTTCTTTATCGGTCGATTTGGCGGAGCTAGGCGACAAAAGTGTAAGATTTTTTTGTCACTACCCCTGTGTCATAGTGTAGACGGCCTTGGCGGCGAAATAAGGAAGTGAGATGGAATAATATCTATCTCCCTTGCACTTTTCTTATCTTGCCATAAAAGAAATATTATTTTATTTCAAATGACGCTTCATTTTAATAGACGCTAGTAATTCATTTATTTGTAGTTGTTGTTAATCAATAATGTAATACCTACGTTTATCAATAATAATATTATACTACGCAAGGAACTTCGTTTCAACCGAGTGTTTCAAGACACTCACGCATTTTTTTTACACATTACTAAGCCTAACTCCTTCCACTTTTAATTTTAAATATTTACGCCCTATCCCCAGCACTGGGCAAAACGCATGGGCAACAAATCGTCGCGGCGCGGCAACGTATCGACTGTGGGCGTGGACATCGGCACATGGGTGTATGAGAAGCAGCGATCCTCGAAGGGTCCGGTCACCTTCCGCACTTGGGACTTCGGAGGGCAGCAGGAGTAAGTCCTTGACTCGTGAAGTTCAATTATTTTGTTTATTTTTGTGAATAATACTTCTGTTTGAGAGTGCAAATAACCGAAGACCTTGTTACCACATTTATGTTAACTCAATATAAGAAAATAAGGCACAAAACTGGATAACAATTAAATATAAACTCACTTTCTTAACTGTCTCTTTGTTTGTTCAGTAAAATTTATTGTATTAGATTTTAAACTTACGTTCCGATGAGCTAGAGACTTCGAAGCTTAATAAGGCTCAGAACTAGAAGTCAATGATTTTTTTTATTTCATTATTAAATTAACATTCATTAGCATTCTTCACTTTTTTAATTTTGCCAAACTGTAAGCAAGTTTCGGTAACAATACAGTTTAACATACTCCTTAATGGCAACATATGGTACTTATTAATAATTAATTCTAAGCTTATCTTAAATACGAAAAACATTCATCATAGACACAACGACGGATGTTTCCTTAAGATGGTTTTGAGGTGCGACTTAGTTACGCTCTCGTCATAATATATGTCTGCCACAATCCGTGACAATATAAAGCCACTTTTTTATTTGTCTGTTTTTTTTTTAAATAATGTCTGTATATTTATGTTTATTCATAATATAATAATTATGTATATGTATATACAATATTTATTACCATAATATAAAAAAAAAACTAAAACAAAAACTGAAATTATCATGCGGTCCTACTCCTCACGGTATGGTGCCAAGAACGCTGACTGGGTTTTCTCGCTGCATGGCTATATTAGTGTAGCCATGCAAGCGAGAAGGCTTAGGCCTTTGAGAGAGAAAAGAACCAGTTACTTTAGGAACTTCACCACACTGAACCCCACGGACTGATAGTCTTAACAGCAAATGGCACAAATGTGTAGTCATTTCTCTGAGACTCATATTTACGCCACTTAGTTCAGGTATCTCTGATGCCGCCTCGGCTTTAAACGAGGCACTCCTGAGAAGAGGCTGACAAAATCTTTTTTTTTTTGGAGGCTTGGAAGAAAGCGTCAGTAGCCTAATGGCAGGGTGCGGACCGTGAACTTGAAAATTGAACGTCAAATCCGCCATTCGACTACTGTCGTGAACCACTTCTAACACATGCATTCATTTTAAGCCATAGAATTATTACGCATAGAATACTAGTACGCGCACCGAAAGTGAAGCAAGTAAAACTAACGCGAAACCGCGTTAGTTGACTCAGCGACGCGTCAGTGCGCAACTTGTCTTGTGAGTCTTGAATTGATAGATAAACATTACTATGTCATACAATAAAGGCCCGCCGCATACATACGGAATTCCGATTCGAGATTCCGAACGCAGCACGTTCATATAAAATATATGACCCGTCACACACGTACGGTAGTTTTCCGTTCGAAATTTTGCGGGCAAAACGGGATTCCGTACGTGTGTGGCCGACCCGTTCGGTATGTATGCGGCGGGCCTAAACAATATGCAACATTTAGCGGTGGGCTGTAGCGGCTTTTTGAGTAACGAAACGAAACTATCCATCGATATACAATATGTGACAGTCAATCAACCCGTAGGCGTATTACGTATCTTGCAGAAGGCTAGCGATGGCGAAATTAGAACAATAATTGTCGCTAGTTAGCTTGATTATCGCTGGTACGTAATACGAACCTGCGATTTATCAGCAATCATTGTTCTAATATCGCTATCGCTAGCCTTCTGCAAGATATGTAATACGCACAGCCTACGGCCACTCTACCTCACCGTCTACTGCCCGTTTATCGCAATAAGATCGCCCGTTTACCGCGGTAATTTATAAAATATACGGCAATGTAATGGCATTACATTACTACCTAAATTACCGCGTGAAGTAGTGTGATTATACTAGAGTTCACCTAGATATGGCGGCGGAAAAAAAATCATTTTTCAAAAAAGAGGTTGACACACAGATTAGTAATCTGTGGATTGACACTGCAGCGGTTTGTGCTTTATGAGTGTGTCAGTTACTATATAATATGAAACTTTTCTGCCTACTTCCAAAAAGGAGACGGTACTCAATTCGACTGTGTTTTTTTTTTAAATTTTTTTTTATGTGTGTTACCTCATAACTTTTTACTGGGTAAATCGATTTCGATGATTCTTTTTTTATTTAAAAGCTGGTACTTCTCGTGTGGTCCCATATGAATAATTAAAATTATACATTTTAACAAAGCTAAACCAAGACTTAAAAAAAGGTGGTGGATGGTAAAAATGCACAGAAAGCATAATAACTTAGTCTTTTTTTTACCATTGAGCTCATGTCGCGCACACTGAACAAATTGTAGTGTGGCCACTTGACGCGAAAATTACTGCGGTAAACTTCTTTCATATCCGAAAAAGACCGCCACCGAAGCTATTGCTTACCGTCATAATATGTCATATTTATTGATATATATCACGGTAGTAATAAGGACGAATGGATACACAAACGAATATGCATAGCACATATATTACGGCAGTGACATGTTTTTTGGTAGTTATTACCATGAAGCTAATACAAAGGGGAGATGGCATAAGCAACTGTGCACTGTGATTCTAAGTAGGTCCTGACGTCATCATAGTGGGCGTGGCTTTAGTTAGTATACTGTCAGCATTCGTCCTGTGCGCTCATGTGTTGAAAAAATCGCAAATCGATGTATTTTCGTAGTATTAAGAAGAAAAGGATGAAGTGTTGTATTTTATTGTGTAAAAACTACTCACATAGACGCTCTGATGTTATGGATGGCATCACATTTCATTTGTAAATAATTTTACACCTAATTTATTAAAATAGTTCTAGAAAAATCTCTTTGCGTTGGCTTTCAAATATAATTAAATATATTCGACACTAGATGGCGACACTTTGTGTCATGTGAACTAAAAATATAAAGGTCCGTAGAGCTCAGTATTGGTAAAATAAACATACGAAGGTGCTGAAATTTGTTTTGCATTCAGTTATAAAGTAATTTTAATCGGAAAATATTATTTTTAGAGTTTATAATCATTATGTGAACAGGCCGTATTCTATCGTCAAGTAAATCTCATAAAGATAACAAAAAGACAGTGCCGTAATTAGAATTCAATTATTTTATTCAGTAATCCAACTTTCAATATTAAAATGAAGGAAATTGTACTTATGCTGATTTTCACGATATGTTTAAGTTATATTTAAGTGACATTCTATATGCAAAGAATCACTTAAATACAATTTAATGTTCTTAGATTGGCATTCAAAAAGTGCATTCGGATGCCTAATTTGGAATAAAATATTTATATTTTAATTGATTTGTAAATAAAATTATATTAATTATAATAATTTGTCTATTAATTGTTCTCCCTCAGAGATATTAAGTAGTATAACCCACAGATAAATAATAGTCCAGCCGTTTCTGCGTGAAAAAATTACACATACACAGTACATACTTAGTGTGGAATAAGCTCAAGGAGACAGAAAAAACACACAAACTTTCGCCTTTATAATATCAGTGAGATTAATAGGATATTTAGTTCCAAATTAAATATCCTACTTAATATTGAACATAGAATATTTAGTTTCAAAGAGACTTTATTTTATGGATAAAATAAATATTTTTTGAAGGTTGACTTTCACGAAATGATAAACATATTTAAATTGTATTTAAGTGATTCTTTGCATATAGAATGTCAGTTAAATATAACGTAAACATTTCGTAAAAATCAGCCAAGTACAATTTCCTTCATTTTAATATTGAATGTTGGGTTACTGGGTAAAATAATTGAATTCTAATTGCGGCCCTGTCGTTTTGTAATTTTTTATGAGGTTTACTTGACAATAGATGGCGGCCTGTTCCCAAAATTATTATGAAAACTTTAAAAATATTATTTTGGCGATTAAAATTTCTTTGTCTGAATGTATTTGCTTCATGAGATAGACGCTCCGATGCTTTGGATGGCATCACATTTCATTTGTAAGTAATTTAACACCTAATTTATTAAAATAGTTCTAGAAAAATCTCTTTGCGTCGGCTTTCAAATATAATTAAATATATTCCACACTAGATGGCGACACTTTGTGTCCTGTGAACTAAAAATATAAAGGTACGTAGAGCTCAGTAACGATAAAATAATCATACGAAGGTGCTAAAATTTGTTTTGCATTCAGACATAAAGAAATTTTAATCGCCAAAATATTATTTTTTAGTTTATAATATTTTGTGAATATGCCGCCATCTACCGTCAAGGTAGCTAAGCTACATTGTAACATTGATATGGAAAGATTCGAGTAGTTTTACTATTTATCGGTAGATGTAGATAGTGTAGTGGGCGGGCCTTTGCATCCCCTCACCCCGCAAATTGTCACGCGTTGTTTCATAGTGAAATTGAATTACAACGTCTCCTCTTTGTATTTGCTTCATGGTTATTACCTAACGAGATTTTAGTGTTCACAATAGGTAACTTACTCAATTCAGTCTTGTGAACAAATGTTATCCAACATTTAATACTTTTCCTTCCCGGCCCGAACCAATACAGTATATAATACCTCTGTAACTCTGATACTTTTAAATGCATATACAATTTGCAAATAAAAATTTATTTAAGTTTGATTTGATCTTTTATAAGGTCGAATTTCTTGAAGTTTGTTTATTTCTACACTACGTTTGAACTTTGAATACTGATTCTGATAACGCACTTAACAGGAACCACAGGGCTTTTGTTGCATGTTGTAGTGGGTTGTACATTATAATTAAAAATATAAAGTTATGGAGAATTTAAGTATAGGATATTTATTAGTGATTACCATACCATCATAGCATTACACATAGATTTAATGTTCTTTTGTTCGTATTTTATGCGGTGCCGTGCCGTTCATCAGATTGCGGTATAAACTTTGTCAACTTATTGCTTGCACTCGCGCGAAGGTTATAGGCATAGTTTAATTAACTAACGTGTGACTTACGTGGTGACGCGCGTATCGTACCGACTACTACCGAACAGGGCTGCCAGATCAAAAAACTCATTCAGCGCTAA